AAAAAAACTTGTAACTATATGTGTATGGGTTTATGTGTAAATATGTTAATGGATTAAGTAGGTTTAATAGATAAATATATTATTAAAATTTCCAGCAATTATGCCTAAATCCTTTGGATTCTACCATAGTTTGGTGTTAAACGGTCTTAGGTTGTTGAAAGTTCTGTGTTGGGAGTGGTACACCTGGGTCCTCTTCTTATTACAACAAGACGTCCTGAGTGAAAAGGAAACGCCGAGCACTTCTCCTCCCAAAACATAAACCAACAAGTAGTCGCAAATCAACTTCCTACACTAGTGTCACCACAAACGACAAGTAGTTGAACTGTTTCAATTGTAAACAGCGAGCGATTAATCAACTAAACTCCATTCGAAAGAGACGGAATCAGAATAGGAGTTCACTTCATTCACGAGTTACAAAACCAGAAACAAAAAAGCATAGGCAAGTCACATACCACAAAACAAACCAACCATAGAGCAAGTACTGAAGTTTCTCTGGCAGAGTGGCCATGCGGCTTAACGACATTTTCGGGACTGGTGACATATACCTATTAGATGCGCTCAGCAAGATACTTAGCCAAGGAATTAACAGGCTTGCCCACATCAAAAGTTTCTTTACCTTGGGATCGGATCTTGATCCTGGCAAGGTAATCAGCAGCTATCCAAGCAAAGCTGAGCATCACTGTGTTGCCAGATGCACCTGGATCTTGCTGTAGCTTTAAAGACTTATTCACCCACTCTGGGTGGTATGTGACATGGTACCAAGCTGAAGCCTTTTTCTCGTACAGAAGGTTTTTCTCCTCATCGCTGAGATTTTCGTGTTCCGGGTCTGTTTTATCAAAGAGTTTTCTGAATTCTTTCTTCAATGCAGTGTAAGAATGCTTCAATCTCTCCTTCAACTCGCCTTGTTTCCTGCTTGTGTATTTAGGCATTGACCAGATGTGACCCGTCACAATCTCCTCCTCTTTCTGCACCTTGTATTGCCCGAGAAGGCCTGTCAGCTGCCCATCATAAGAACATTTATGATTCCATGCCTCGGGGACAAAATCTGCAAAACCTGAGATTTCAAGGTCAGTGTCGTAAGGGATGTCCCTTGGGTCTGAGTTGATTTCCGATGAAACAGTGTCATCTTCATCATAAACGTCTTTTATTTTCCTGTAAAGCCGGTCTCTCTCTCTCTCTCTCTCTCTCTCTCTGTGTTTTCTGGTTTCCAACAATGGAGGATGAAACGAATTGGCTGAGCCCCAAGGTTCTGTTTCTGTCTGTAATGGTGGGTTGTGTAATGGTGAAAGGCGTGGCCTTGCTCTGGTGGAGACCAAGAAAGATCGAAGAGCATTTCTCGAAACAGGGGATCCGTGGTCCTCCTTACCACTTCTTCATCGGCAACGTCAGAGAACTTGTCGGGATGATGCTCAAAGCTTCCTCCCACCCCATGCCTTTCTCTCACAACATTCTTCCTAGGGTTCTTTCCTTTTACCACCATTGGAGGAAAATCTACGGTTAGTTCTCTTAATCACATAAAAAAAAAAAAGAAACCCATCAAATTTCGCAGCTTTCTTTTGGTCCCTTGTTCTCATATGATGATCATTTCTGGTTTTTGAAAAAGTCGTCAATTGTGGTCTCAAGCGTTAGAGAGCCGTCTCAGAGGCTCATTGACTGTAATTCTGGATTCAGAAAACGGATGAGCTGAATTCAGGATTCTTCATCATTCTTGCTCGGCTTCACTCGTGGCATTTTCTGGGTTTCCCCCTTTTTCTTCCTCGTAAAGATTTGTTTCATTAAAGGGTCGAATTTCACATCAGATTTGCGATTTCTGTTCCTCTTTCTTGGCTGAAGTGATTTCTTCTTCTTCTTCAAAGTTTCGGCTCTTTCTGGATTTTGGTTTTTTGATGTTGAAGCTCAGAATCTTTCTTTTTTTTTTGGTAATTAAGGGAAAATTTTCGAAACCCGGGAAATTATAAAACTTGGGTTTCTGTGGTTGGAGCTTTGTGTTTTGGTCGAAATGAAATATAAAGTGTTTTTTTAACTCCTGTAGTGAAGTGGGTTTTTCCTTTTGTTTTTATTACAACATGAAAATTAAACTTAAATCAATTTTATCTGTTTTTTTTTTTGTTTCTTTTTTTGGGTGTGTTATGATCAAATTATGGTGTCAGTACTTTGTTGTGAGAAAAGGGGCTCTGTTTTTTCTTATGGAGTACTATCATTTCACTCCTCTGTTTTCTGTTGGCTTCTTTCTTTGGTCATTTCAAAGATCACAGGAACGCTCTGGATTTATTACAAAACCCAAAAGGGAAAAAAAAGGGGAAATTGATCCGACCAATGTGTTTTCCCACTTCAGGATCTGTTCATTCAATGTCTTGCACTCGCAAGAAAGTTGTCATCGCTGATCAGATTCCGGTTTCGATTTCAGGTGCGACGTTTCTCGTTTGGTTCGGACCAACATTCCGGTTAACAGTTGCCGATCCCGATCTGATCAGAGAAATCTTCTCGAGATCTGAGTTCTACGAGAAAAATGAAGCTCACCCGCTTATTAAACAGCTTGAAGGCGATGGACTTCTTAGTCTCAAAGGCGAGAAATGGGCTCACCACCGAAAGATAATCACCCCAACATTCCACATGGAAAATCTCAAAGTAAAGTCACTAAATTTCAGTTTCTCGATCGTAATTTCGAAATGGGTTTTGCTGAAAATCCCAAATTTCGTCAAATCCGTTACTCAAATTCCCATTTCCTTCTCTTTCTTTCTTCTGGGTACGTAGCTGCTGATCCCCGTGGTGGTGAAGAGCGTGACGGATATGCTCGACGAGCTGTCGGGGAACTTGTCGGAATCCGGAGAGATCGAGATCGATGTCTACGAGTGGTTTCAGATTCTGACTGAAGACGTGATAACAAGAACAGCTTTCGGAAGTAGCTACGAAGATGGACGGGCGATTTTCAGGTTACAATCTCAACAGATGCTTCTTTGTGCAGAAGCTTTCCAGAAAGTGTTCATCCCTGGCTTCAGGTAAACCCCAAATTCTCACATTTAAAAGACAAATCCCACGAGAATCGGAACACAACTGATTTTTGCTGTGGGTAGGTTTTTTCCGACGAAGAGGAACATAAAATCGTGGAAGATAGACAAGGAGATAAAGAAGTCGCTGGTGAAACTGATAGAGCGGCGGAGGGCGAGCTCCTCCTGCTCCGGCGGCGGAGATGCGGCGGCGAAGGATTTGTTGGGTTTGATGATAGAGGCGTCGAAGTCGTCGGCGAACGTGACGGTGAAGGACATAGTGGAGGAGTGCAAGAGCTTCTTCTTCGCCGGAAAACAGACAACGTCGAACTTGCTGACGTGGACGACCATCCTGCTGGCGATGCACCCAGAGTGGCAAGCCAAGGCACGTGACGAGGTCCTCAGGGTGTGCGGCTCACGTGATATCCCCACCAAAGACGACGTCGTTAAGCTCAAGACGGTGCGTTTTTTTCCCTTCTCCCTCCCTCTACTTTTTTTCCCTTTTTTATATCCTTTTTAAAAAATACGTTTTACGAATAAATTAAAAAAAATCCTAAAACATACGCATTTAAAATAACTTTCTTTGGTTGATATGGTAAACCCGAAGGGCAAAACGGTAAATTCACAATTGAAAAATGTTCCCAAACTCTTGTAGCTAAGCATGATCATCAACGAGTCGCTACGGCTATATCCACCGATAGTGGCAACGATCAGAAGGGCGAGAGCTGACGTGGAACTCGGAGGGTATAAGATCCCCAGCGGCACGGAACTCCTAGTTCCGATCCTAGCCGTCCATCACGATCAAGCCATCTGGGGCAACGATGCCAACGAATTCAATCCGGCTCGGTTCACGGATGGCGTGGTCCGGGCCGCTAAGCACCCGGTAGGGTTCATACCGTTCGGACTCGGGGTCCGAACTTGTATCGGACAAAACCTAGCTCTACTTCAGACGAAGCTTATGCTCGCGATCATGATCCAACGGTTCACATTTCATCTTTCCCCGAATTACCAACACGCACCAACGGTCCTGATGTTGCTATACCCTCAACATGGCGCACCGATTATATTCCGTAGATTGGACGGTCAAGATTAACGGCTGTGATTTCAAACAACGTGTTCCGACGCTCTAGATTATCGTGAAAAAAATCAACGGCCCTGATTTCGTCATGCGGGTCCAAGATTTGTAAAGGGGGCGGCCAAGAAATTCCCTTTGAGGCGTTGCAAAAAAAAAAAAAAGAGTTGAAAAGAGTATGCTAACAAGTTAATTAGGTTAAATTTTTACTGTTTTGGTTTCCACTTTGTGTGTATGTAACGTATATGTGCATAATTTTCACACCATTCTGCAAATGTTTTTACCTTAAAGAGTATTCGATCAATTTTTGTGCTAATCATTTGGAAGAATGAGTGTCAAATATCAAATAATGGTGGGGAAATTGAAATAGTAATTCGAAAATTCACATATTTTTGGTCCAACTATATTTTCCAAAACTACTGAGAAAACTCGAAAAAACTCGGATGAATATTTTTTTCCAAATAGAGATCCAGACCTAGATTAAGAAGCAATTTTGCTTCTTTATTTACAAATTCGAGCCAATAAATCTTGGATGAAATTTGTGTTTCAAATTATTTCTGTTTTTTTTTTCATATTGGCTTTAATATGTGTTATGCACGACCAATTCGCAGTGATACCGGTGGTTAGGGTTTTACCGGTAAGCTGAGATAGAAAACCCGGACGGTTAGGGTGATTAAGTATGATTCACTCGTTTAGTTTTCTTTATAATCCCGAAATTCACCAGATCATCGGACTAATCACATCTCCCAAAAAAACGGAAAAATACGTATAGATCTCACTCTCCAAATAGAGATTGAAACCTAGATTGGAAAAGAGCTTTTCTCGACCCATTACCGGTTGAACCATATCTGATATTGAGTTACGATACGGGAGAGTAAAATACATTATAATTCTCTTTAACAAAAAAAAATTACATTACGAGTCTTCTAATAGTTACATATAACAATATTTATATTTTTGTATTATATATGCACATATTTGTGTATACTATGTGATGTGTATGTATGTATATAACAATGTATAGCTCAACCTTGTGAGAAAGACGTTAAAAAACATGGGAAATGAGGGAAGTGGGTGTCTTTCAAGGTGCAAGAAAAAGCTAAAAACATCCATCAAACATGCACGGATTAATTAACTATAACTCTTAGCCTTTATTATTATTTTGTACTATTTAATTATGAAGTGTTTTTCATCGGTAATTCGTATGGGTTTCATAGTAACAATAATTAATAAAAACAAAAATATTAATAATAATATTAATAATGTGAACCAGTTCATGTTGTGAAGCTCGATGGAGCTTTTTCTGTTAGGTTTCTAAGTAACTTCGTGCCAAAGTTCTTTGCATAATCTCAAGACATTGTTTTGTGGATCATTTCCACTGCTGTCTGTCTAATCACCCACTTCTCTAATTTCTTTTTTTTTTTTAATTAAAAATTAATTACATAATATTAGAGTAAATTAGTTATTTTGTAAGTATATATATATGTGTGTGTATGTATATGCTAAGGAATTGAATCAATTCAATCGAGAATCTATAGTGGTTGGAACGATTTTGTGTGAGTTAATTTAGCCTTAGGGTTTGGAAAAATTGATTTAACTAATAAAAGATTTTTTAAATGTGTAAATTTATATCTCCGATAAAATAAAATGTGAACAATGACACTGATAATTAACCAGAAAAAAAAAAGAGAGTAAAAGAATTGGCAAAATAGTTGAATCGGCTTCATTCCTACTAGAGCTCCAAATTTAGCAATTACCCATAAAATTAAATTGTGCATGATTCGTTTTCCATATACTTTTTGTAAGAGATAAAAAATTAGATGAATAAAAAATATTGAGAATTAGTAAAAAAAAACAAAAAGTAATTGGTTAAATTATTTTAAGAGATAAAAAAATACCCATAAAGTTTTATTTTTATATTTTATATTAAATTATTATGAATTTTTCTTCGTTTATTTATATTGTAATATGAACTTTCAAAATTTTCGATGATTTTTTTTCAATCTCTATCAACACATAATAAATAATCAAAAAAAAAAAGAGAACGATGGAAACTAAAATTCGGTAGTAAATTTAATATATTTATATTGATGGGGACTTCATAACGAAAAATATGATTTTGGGTGGACCATATTACAAATTATATAATATGATAGAATCAGAAGCTTCAAGAAGGCAACATCATTAATTGTACGCGATATGGGAGCTTGGGACGAGAAGCTTCATGCGAAGAGCAAATTTATTGTCCATTACGAATTTAAAATAGAAACAGCTGTGAGATTAATGCAAGCCTGTAATTCAACTTTTATTTTTATTTTTTTATGAAATGTGAATAATCTGTAATTCAACTTCTTAAATAAAAAGCGGTCCACTACGAATTGGAAATATTTTATGCTCGGCAATTGGGAAGGAAATTTTCTGTATTTGCTGGTAGAAAAAATTAGATTCAACTTAAAACCGAGGAATGTTCGGTTTATTTTTTTTAATTTAATTTTTTAATCAGTTTAATTATTTTAAAATCGGAGTTTAGTTTATTTTTCTGGAGAAATTTTGTTTTATTTTTTAGTATGGATTGGATTTTAGTTAATTCATTTCAGATTTCTAATATGTGATCATAAAAAAGGTTGCTGCAGCTATTTAATTTGGTAGAGAATTATATAGTTTTATATTGATCTGGATCATGTTTATTTATAATTGAAACAATTGAAAAAACATGTATTCTGTGAAAAACTACTTAAAATTTTCATTGGTGCATTTTAAATCGTATTATATCAAAAATATCATCAATTTGCTATTTTTACTTCAAGATATACCATTCTCCAATTGTGACCATGTGACTAGAAATTTAATTTTGGTCACATTGGTCATAACATTAAATTTATAATTTTTTTATCAAATGATTAATGAGATATATAACATATGAACATAATGAATGGGTGTGATCATCATAAATTTAATATTGTGATCAAAATGACCAAGATTAAATTTTTGATCATATAGATCAAAAGATCACAGTTGGAGAATGGTATATCTTGAAGTCAAAATAGTAAAGGAAGGATATTTTTGATAATGCCCCCTTTGTATATATAAAAACTAGATGATGAATACTCTTACAAAGAGGAGTGCACATTGTAAAATATAAAGAAATAAATGAAAGATGATTTAGAAAATTTAAAGGATAATTTATTGGTTAATATTTAGTTTTTTTTATTCTTAGATAAAAACCAAGTTTATTTCTCAACGTATTGTATAGGGAATATTTCGTTCGGATTTTTTTATTTTCTTTATTTGACTTAAATCAGTCAGATGTTAAATAATATTATATTCCAATTTCGATTTTTCAAAATTCCATTTATCTGTTCCAAATATTATGACACTAGAGTTAAAATTCAATATTCTACAATTTTATGAATATTCTTAAGACATTAGATATTATTTGTCTTCTATTGCATTTGTCAATTATATTCTATTAATTATTATTTAATGGGTGCCTTAACTCTCTCTCTCTCTCTCTCTCTCTCTGTGGTTGCCTTAAGTCTTTAATATATTTTTGTTTCCGAATTTTAGAAATTGAATCCCAAACATTCTTTAGAGATAAAAGGATGCAATATCTCATAGGAAAATGGAATAAATAGATAAAAAAAAAAGAGAGAGCTTTGGTAATTTAAATTTATTTATTGGGGTTTTCAAGAAATCAAAACCCAAGAAGAAGTTTCCTTTGTAATAAGGAGAGATCAACAGCCTCCCAAAACAACATGTATGAAAGAAAATGACAAAAATGGACTCAAATTAGATAATTTTATATAATCAATATATAATATGTAATTAAAATATAATCAATTATAATACACATATATATTGTTGTTATTATTTATTTCGTTGCTAAAACAGAAAAGTGAAGAAAACAGTTTGCAGACACCAAAGATAAATTGTTCTTTTAAGGCAAAGTTGCACTGTAACCCAGAATGCAAAATGCCTCTTTAATCAAAAGCTAATAATACTTTTACAATATAAATCTTCATGGGAATTATATATATATATATATATAAATATGCTAATTACCCTTCAAATGTAAATTTTGGAGAATGCTTCCAATCGTTTTAATATCAAATACAGTTTAAGATAAAATGTTATTCTCAGATTTTAGAGAATTGTTCCAACCACAGACAGTCGATTATATTTACATTTAATGTAAATATGTTTCGATAAGTATATGTCACATTGTTATTTATAATGAAATTTTGTTTGAAATGTTAACAAATTCCATTGTACTCAATTCATATGCTTTTCTCAAATTTTTTCTATATCAACTTGTTCGAAAGATATTTATAGGCAAAGTTATTGGGTTGCAATAAATTTATTATTTAGGAAAATCTTCTTTGTCGTCTTCCAAAAAAAAATAAATCAAGACGAGGGGAAGAAAACATTTATTTTTTCTTTTTTTCGGTTTTAACTTTTTGGGATCTTCTCATGCACAGTCGAAAACACAACTTTCTATGGTCCCCATGCTCCATTATACGCACACATACATTTATATATGCGATAATATATATCTATATATATATGTGTGTGTGTGTGTGTGTGGTTTATACAAATTTAAGTGTGTAGCTTTTCTATTTAAATAAAATATCAAAGCATGCCATGAAGGCATGTGAGCTCCCATCCTATTAGATAGCAAACTTAATTTAAATATACTTAATTACCTTTTTGTTACCAATAAAGAATTTTCTAATTTTTTTTTGTAGTTATTTGCTTTAACGATTTGTAAGAGTAATCTAAGGGTTTCGTTTTTCTTAGTAGGATGTTAGTATGGGAATTGTTAGTTGCCGACGGCCATAGAATTAAAAAATTGGCCTAATTCTACATATAAGAGAGTAAATTCTGATATTTGAAAAATAATAATTAAGATGTGAATACAAATTTACAGGGAATCTCATTTTTTTGTGTGATGATATTCTTGCTCATGGTTATAACTAAAATATTATTGATCTACAATCTTTTTTTTCTTATCTTTCGGGTGCATACCGGATAAATTTTCACTCTCGTACAATAGTCTGCAAACTATACGATAGATTTAAATCATTACAAGTTATTTATAACTAACAGAGTCGCATATGAGAAGATAAGAGGATTCGAACCCCTAACTTTTTTTTTTGATAATCCAGAAGTTCACCGGGCCTTTGGCCCAACTACATCTTCCAGAGGATCGGGGTAGTCCATGTGAAAACCCGTCCTCAACCAGGAATCGAACCGCCAATCTCTGAGTGCCTAGGTGTTGACCACTCGCCCACAAACTGTTGGGTCGAACCCCTAACTTTGAAGTTAAACGATCTAATACTCAACTAATTCATTTGGAATTTACCCTCCCTTGTGAACTAACTTGTTATGTGCTTCACATTGGTTGTGAGATATAAGATATGGTTTAAAGGAGGAGATTATTACAATCTTAATTTGTTTGTTCAGGTAATTTTGGCAAGAAATAAATATGTTCCATTATGTATATTTAATATTATCTTCTTCCTTTTTTTTTTTATGGTAGAGCGCTAATATTGTATTGATTCTGATATCGTCATTCCATATACTTTTCTGTTCTTTATAATTGTTGTAAAAAAACACATTACAAAACCACCATACATATATATATATATATATATATTGTTTTTTTTTTGGGTATGATATTATGATATTGTTATATGTAATTGCGTGATGAAGCATTGGTATTTTCATCGAGTGTGTATTGATTGTATATTAATAAAGATGCCGACATGACATTTAACGTAACACGGACATGCTTATTTTTTAAAATTCTCATTAGTAGTTTAATTATCTAACAGTTAATATATTTAAAAAACAATCTGTAATTTGGGTGAACCAGTTCAGCTTTAATTGGGGCCTAATTATATAACTACGACCTAATCTAATCACATGCATGAATGCAAAACACGAAACAATAATTAATGTGACCAAAGTTGATATAAAAGAAGAGAAAAACAATTAAAAATTAAAATAAAACAAATTTGGCAATAATTAAGAGACATGTATGATAACGTAGGGTTGTCTCCTTCACTTCGCTACACAGTAAACCCTAAAATTCTATGTGGACCTAAAAACCTTTATAAAGGACTACATGCTTAGCTCTTGTACTCTCTTAATTCGCTTTTTTTTTTTTAAATGCAAACACTCCACCACACACAACTATTTTTCTTAATTACATAAATTTTATGTTTTTTATAATACGAAAATTCATATCTTTATCCCAATTATATCTCCCAAAGAATCGGAGATGTCCGATTGAATGACTCTCTCCACAGTTGAATTTAAACTTATGATAAAGTACTTCCTCAAAAGTATAAATAATGTTTTAGATTTTTGTTATGTTCTAAATATCGGGATTAGAACCCAATTCGGCTATATTTTAGATTTGAATTTGGTTATTGTTACATTTTTTTCTACAAACTATATTAATTTTATTTTTATGTTTGTTTTCGACGTGGTTCGGATTTTGTTCAGATTCACATCGGGTTTGCGTATCAACTAAAAACCTAATTTTTATAGAAACTTTCGTTCGTTTTTCGCGGTTATATTTGGGTTTGGTTTATATTTGATTCATTTGAATTTAAAATATCCATACTCAAATCGGTTTTTAAAAATTAGATTGGTTAGGGTATAGTTCCATATTATTCGGTTTAGTTCGATTTTTTTCAAACTCCTACTCCTACTTCCTCCAATTCATGTCGATAGTGTTATTTTAGGTTTTGAATTCGTTTGGAAATTTTCTTTCCATAAATCTAATGGTAAATTCTAAATCTGTCCTATCGATTGGTATCGTTTTCTAAATATCAAATGATAACATTCTAAGAAAAGAATATATATAATTGGAATGTTTACAGTATTGATCTCACACTCTAACACATTATATGCCAGATGGAAATGGTGAAACTTTCATTTTAGAGAAACGCAAATCAACCCCTTACAGACAGAAATCAAACTATTACAACAAACCGGACCAAACCGTTCTAAACCGGTCTCACGCACTCAAAGATGCAACACGATAACACATTTATGCAAACTTGTTATAACACACTAGTTTGCCCTAACTTCTGTATTTTGTTTTTTGTGAAGCTAACCTCTGTATTTTGGCAAACTCTTCTATATCAAAATTCGTCGACGACAATCTTCTTACCCCTTCTTCTTCCTAGTAGCGGACCTAGAAAAAATTCGTAATTAGGGGCAAACTTAATTTTACTATATAAAAAAACATAATTTTATTGTGGGACATGTAACGATTTTATCAAAAATCTTATAAATTTTATTAAGAAATCAAAGTTATGGGGGCATATCAAAATTGGGTATCATCTTCTGATTTCCTTCGGTCAAACTTCCCCCAAAAAAAAAAAAAAAAAAAAAAGATGTGCAATCGAAAGGATTCTATCAAACCCTTAATTACAGAGACATGATGCAATCCATTCAAATAGAATCTCCGTGACTTGCAGGTACACTCGTGGCATTAACACATAGACGGCAATCTCACCAAGAAAGTTTTCAGAATTTGTACATGTGTATACATATTGGTCTGGAATTTTAATGAATTTAAAGTAATAACTTAGGTGTAATTACGTTTTGCATGTATGTGCCTAGCCGCTTCTAGCTTCACAATACAATAACAATTTCGAAACTCTTAATAATTCGACGATTATTGCTGAAGAGATGCCGAGCCAATCATGTGCACGTATACGATAGATTTTGTTTGTTACTCTTTAAGATACAAATCAATGGTATTTTATAATTTCTTTACTTTCTTAATGTGAGTGAAATCTTTATGTTATGATATAATATAAATGTTTCGGAAATTATATTAATATAAATAGCTCAATATATCATGGTGCACTGTTAAATTTTTTTTTTTTTTTAAAAAAGGTCATGATAGATTTTTATAAGCTCCAAAAAGCTTATTATCGGGCTTATAAATTGTTGAAAGCAAATTATATATAAAATCGACAAAAATAGAATTTGGACAGAAATAAAAAGTACTCTGAAATTCTCTCTTTTGTTACAGTTGCAGAAACACAAAACAAAATACAGACAGAAGACAAAGTTGCAGAATCATAACCCCTTTTGGTAAAGAACTTGTGACTGAATATTTGATTATGCGACTGAAATCACTCTATGAAGTACTTCTTCCTGAAGGATGAAACCTGGTTCCCAGAAGGCGGTTTAATTTCGCAGCCGAGCTCTACCTCCATTAACCGATGATTTTCCTTTGAGCGTGTCATTATCAACGATACACTCAGACCATCGCCTTCCCCAACGTTAACTGTCGGATTCAAGACAAAAACCTGCGAAAAACGGGGATCGGAATTGAAACTCATCCCATACCGCAAATGTAATTGAAAGTTGAAACTGAATCAATCGTGTATCACACCTGTTGTCCCCAGTGAGTGCAATAATCATCGCTAGGAGCTGTGGTTAACTCGACTTCTCGCAATGCTGGATCCTCCTTCCTTCCCTACATTCTCAAAGTGACGAGATCAACCATTAGACTTTTGTTCGAGATGGCTTTTCGGGTTTCGGTTTGGTATTTGTCGGGTTCGGTTCGGTAAAATTGTACCAAACTAGAACTGAATGTTAATCTTTTCGGGTCAGAACTTTTTTTGTTATGTGAACACCAAACAAGATCCGAAGCTTGATATTCACACATACATTCTTACATAAGGGTACATTATTCAGGTTTCGGTTCGGTACTTCTCGGGTTTGGTTCGGCTCGGTATTTATCGAGTTTGGTTGAGGAACTGTTTACTCTGTTCTACAAAAATTATACCAAATTATATTCGGTTCAGTTCGATTTCGGTTCGGAACTAAATTCCTGAACTGAACCCCTAGTTTTCATGAGATTTTACAGGTGTGAGGATATCGTTTCAAAAGTTACCGTGAAAGTCTTACCCGAAAATGAACATCGAACCAACCACCAAAGCCGCAGAGCCTCGTATTCTGAACGCTAACGGTTGACAGGACGTTCGACCTGACTTCGGCAATATCACTAACCGTAGCTGTCAAACAGTCTATTTCCTTAACAATGGTAGGGGTCCCAATCAGTTGTTGTGGACTCAGGTTATTCCAGATAGCTGTCTGTGAGAAGAACAAAAAGGATATTCAACATGTTATATCAGTGCAAGGTTCTAAGTAATTTCATCAAACCGCAAAGCATACAAGATAATTTATAATAACGCAAAGATAATAGGGATGGTTTAGACGTTTTACTACAACGAACTATAACCTTGGTTGAAAAAAGCGCGAGGCGTACCGAGGCGCTAAAGGTCCAAAATCACGAGGCGCGAGGCGCGAGGCGAAGGCGCACGCCTCATGTATTTGAGGCGCTTCTATTTTTTATAACAATATATATATATATACTATATAAACATAGATTATATAGTTTAGTTAGTATAATATACATTTATATATATAAATATAATCTAAATTTATAATAACATAAATAAAATTTAAAAATAGAATGGTAGATAAATATTATTAACAAATAACAATAATATTGTTTGAATTTTATTTTTAAACTTTTTATAAATTTAGTTTTATATAATTTGTAAGAATATACATTTAAAATTATTAACTATTATAAATTTTAATTATAATTAATTTTATCAATCTATAATTAATAATTGATAATATAATAATAATAATATAGATAAAAATAAATAGATTGAAAATATTTAATATATCTCATATAATATTATTAATGTATAAGAAATATTAGGTATCCATCTTATCATTTGTCAGAGACAATCAAACAAATTGTCTCCCACTAATCTTCTTCTCTGTCCATCTCTCTCATTTTTTTTTTATATTTTTCTATCTTGTCTTCTAGTTCTTCACGTTTCCTCTGTCTCTCTCTATTCTCTATCTATCTCTGAACCTTGAGAAAGTTCACGAACCATTCGTGTAACAAGAGAGAGAGTGACCAGTTCTTTGTTTTTCTTCTATTTTTGTTGTTGTTCTTTTTCTATCGCCTGAATAGCAGGAGGCGCACGCCTCCGCCTCCGGCCGATGCACGCCGGAGGCGCGCCTCTGGCCGCCTCCTGCAAATCGCCTCGCCTTTGGGTACAGATGCGATTTTTCTGGCGCAACAGCGCCTCCAGCGCCTAGGCGCGCCCCAGGCGCGCTTTTTTAAACTAAGACTATAACGCTGCATCTCCTGAAGTTACAGCTCGTTGAGTAATACATTTCAGACGAAAACATAGTCCTTAGAAGTCTTTAGAGTATTATTTTTGTCACTTCAGGCAACTTATTACAAAGTACTTAATCAATCGCAGCACCAAAAATAGTCGAACATACCTGTAAGTAATACTTTTCTTGCTCATGAGAGTAGTGTTTTGTTAGTACACTCATATCAACACCATAGTAGTTCTTGATCTCATCCGAAAAGTTATGCCAATCATCCATCTCTGCATCATAATCACACTTTTTACGATCTGCCTGCGCAGATACAATCGGTGCCAACCACATGCGGGCATGACTAGGATACCTGTTGAATTCAAACAGCAAGATTGTATTTAACAGCCAAGGAGACAACATCATATTTTTATCGCTGCAGAACACGCAAGCATAAAGTCGAGGAATAAGGATATTCAGAATATTGTGTGCATTGTGCAATGAAGACGTTAAGAAAATAGCTAAAAGAGTAAATGCACCAAAGCACTTACATGACACCTGTTGGCTTGAGCCACCGGTCACGAGCACAGATCACGGAATCAAACATGGACTCTCGCAGAAGGAAGTATCCCATCCACTCCGAGATAATCACATCAACTGCACATCGAATTGATTACAGAGACATCAGTGTGAAACCCAAAATCAAAGTGCTAATCTTACAACTAATTGTAAGACTCTTACACAGAGCACATCAAGCTTAACTAAGCTGCTAAATATCCCAAGTTACAACCAATAAAAATGGCATTTCCATGTAAGCATGAAATACATTTTCATTCTCGTTTGCAAAGGAAATAAAACAAGAAACCGAATGCCCTGCACTAACCTTTCTCTGGCAATGTAATATCCTCCATTGATCCTTCTATAACTTCCACAACGTGGTCAAGATTGTTGGCTTTGACAAGGGCACGAGCATGATCAGCCATCTTAGTCGCTTCGACAGCATAAACCTTCCTTGCTCCAGCTTGGGCCGACCAAATCGCAAGAATTCCACTCCCTGTCCCCACATCCAAGACAGTCTTCAACGCAAACATACACGACAAGTCAGTCAAAACATCACCAAGGAACAATTCGATACGCATGCATAAGCTAGGCCAAAAGCAAAAACATATGGGTAAACGCCTAGGGTCGGCCAATTTGCTTAATCTGAATAGTCCCCAAGCAAATAATGATACACAAAATGTATTAACGGTAAAACTCGAATCACTCACTGATCATTGAGCTTCAACAAAATGGAAATCGATTTGTTACATTCACCCAAAACAAGCTTACACATCCTAATCTTCTCTAGTAGCAGCTACTAATTCGGTAGTATAACAAGTAAAACCCGAAACCAACACATTACATACATAGACACACCCAAACCCATGTATAAACACACGGGCACATTTATGTACAAGCATTTTGAACTTCACCTATATACACACAAATACAAAACATACACAAAACATGTATATGTAAGAATACTGTGAACTTTACCTTGCCGGAGAAGTGATGCTTGTTCTCGAAGACGGCGTTGTAGTATGCGTCCATGCGAACTCGATCGGAGAGCATGTCCTTCTGGTGGTAGAGAAACCCATAGGTGCAGAAGTATTGAGCGAAATCGACGTCCTTGTCCACCGCCGCCGAGGATCCTCCTCCTCCGCGTCTGGCCATGGCGCCGTCGTGGTCGGAGGTCCTCATGTTGCCTCAGATGGAGAGAGGGAGGTGTGTGTGAATATTAGGGCAAAAATGGCTTTAGAAGCGGCGGGGTTTGGGGTTTTGGCTTCCGCATGCCACGTCATCACTTGGAATTTCGAAAGCCACTGTTTGGTTTATTCCGGTCGGGTTAGGGAGACCGGTTCGTAGGCTCTCTTCCGTGGTATACTTCATGTATAAGTAAAAGCACAAATACTTGAAAACAATGAACAGTTTTTATAATTAGTTAAATAATTATATTTATGTATTTGTTTAAATGCTAATATGAATGACTAAATCTTGTTTCATATGGCTAAGAAAATTATGATCTAGGTTTATTCCGGTTTTGGAGATCGGTCCGGTCCATGTATTATCCAAAACTTGAATAATTTTATGATATATTCATATATTTGCGAGTAAATTGATTGAATAAAATTTTGCAATCCGAAAAGAAATCTCAAAGGTCTCGAAAATTCCCAAAACGGTAACCGTAACACAAATGCTACAAATTAGATAGTGCTATTTTTATTTTTACTTGTTATAAAACAATGAGTTTCCAGTTACATAAAAATATAATGATTGAACCATTATATGTAACAATGTTTTAAGATTTTTTTTAACTTCACTACTATGTCACTCTTCTTATTCTCATGTGTAAAATTAATTCATATAAATTTATTTTAGTTTTCTATTAATACACCACTATCTTAATAATTAAACAATTTACTTCATGTTTCATTTCTTATATTTTTTACAACAAAAATATCGCATTTAAAAAAACTAAATATTTTACATGTAAAAACGAATCTAAACTTGAAAGATTTTAAAATGAATTTCTAAATTGATATAAAAACTAAATGATTATAATTTTTATTTCACATACTGAAAAATAAATTGATATTTTGTATTAAATAGTTAAAAAAAATTACAAAATTTGATAGAAAGATATTCAAATATAGTCTATATGAAACATATTATTAAATATAATTTTATAACAATAAATTATGTCGCCATCTATATAAAAATATATATAATATAGCTGTTTTAATCTTTAATCGAATAAAAAAAAATGCATTTTTGTATCTAATTGACTAATAATTATCTTTCAGTATATTTTTAATCACATTACAAGTTTACATCATAATTCCAAGTCTGCAACTCGAAACAGTCATAATAATAAAAAAAAAACTTATTTTTTTACCCTTGAACAAACCTTCCATACATATATTTCTTAACAAAAATCACCTTTTTACATGGACGGAAAAAGTCATGTTTTGCCATCTAAGTTTATTAGAATATATGATTATGGTTAAATATTGGTTTAATTGATTTTGGTTTGGTTTAGTTGGTTAGGGTTTGTATGGTGTTTCTTTCTTCTCTCCCTTTGTATTTAAGGCACCATGTTTCCATTTTTTGTTTTTGTAATAAACATGGTGATTTAACAGCCAATACAAAATCTTGATTTTTTTTACCAAAAAAATTTAATTTTCAAATTAACAAAAAAAAAACAGAATTTGATTTATTTAGATATAATAATAAAAAATTAAAATTCCCTTAGAAACAACTTTAATGGAAAGCCTATCTATATACAAAATAAATATATGTTATTGGATAATCGGGAAATTATTTGGTTAATTGTATCGGGATTAATCTACATTTCTAGATCTTGGTAAACTAACACACGAATCTACACTGTCGAAGCCGACACGTGTCAGGATCTGAGAGAGGGACGCTGATGCACCCATGGTTTTGGGAGACAAAACCTTTGCACCGAGACACTGGATTTACACCGACCCACTCTGATTTTATTTTCTTTCCGATTTATTTTTAAAAAAAATGTAATTTATGTAATTTAATTAAAATATAAAACGGGGAATCGCACAAAATTTCATGGTTTTCGGGTGAGTGGTTAAGTTCGTGAAAAAAGTGAACGAGATTTTGGACAGATCTCAAGGCCCGTTGATTTTGTCCTGATATTACCAACTTGCCCTTTTAAAACTATGTTCACTTCAATATATTGCAAGTATTTTTTTTCTATTTTAGTTAAATTCGAAATGTAATTTTATGAGAAAATTAAAAATACTAAAGAATCTTTTCAATCCAATCTTAAGGTTTTTGGGAGCAGAAAACATTTTCTACACGTTTGAAAATTATGAATTATTTGTAAGTAATTTTATGTAAAATACCATTAATATTAACTATGAATCATTTATAAGTAATTTATGTTGAAACTATAATTAGAGACAGATCCACCATTAATAATATATTGGGGTATTTTTTTTAATCTTTTGAACATAATATATTTTATATTAATAAGTAATTTATATAAGGTACCATTAACAAAAGTAATTGGTATAATTTGGTAGATATACAAGGTTTTTTTTTAATTTAAATGGGGCTTCTATAAGCCTAATGAAATGTCTTAACAAATTAAATAAAAGGCTAAGGGGACAAAAGTGATGACCGTTTTTCTTGGTAGGAAATTAATGACTATTATTCGTATTGTGAATATTTATTTCTAGATTTCCTTGAACTTGTGAAACTCCCATAATTGTTGTAGTCTTTATCACTAATAAGTAATAACAAATATAATACAAACAATTGGTTGTAGTTGGGGCTGAAAATGTTTATAAAACAGTCGCTCTTAATTTAACTAGTTTTTCCACGTTTTGATCATGCATGAATTGAAACATTCATAGAGAATATATGTATATATCGTAACATCATTTTTATATTCAGTTTATCGATGTTTTGTCCTCATTCACAAATTGATCGAAAATAATGAATCGAAAATGTAGATATATTTTATTGATAGAAATAACTCAATCAATTTTATTAAATTATCGTTAATCATATTATATAACTTTCGAATCTTTCTCATTCTTTTATACGTTTATCTTATTTCGTGTCTCTCCCGTCTATCTGTCTCATTCTTTTTATATTTATTTATTTTATCATAAAACTTACACCAAATCAATTTCTATATTGAATTTGATTAGAACATTTTTATATGTTATAAGAAAACCCTCGAAAAAACCGTCATTTTTTCAAAAAGATTCAAATAAGTCTTTTAATTTAAAAAATATCCAAAAACTCTTAATTACTTCTAAATATCTATTTAAAACCACATCCTCAAAAAATAATATATCAAATATAATATAAATTTTTTATAAAAGATACATTAAAAACCTCAATTAAATAAATAAATAACAAGTTTAAACGTCCAAGCTTTTTCAACTAGGAAATGGCATAAATAAACAGAGGGGTAAAATAGGAAATAAAAAAAGGCAGGAGTGAAACAAGCGACTCTGACGTTAGAATTTCAAAGCAAAACCATCAACTCTTCACTCCCTTTTTATCTGTTTCCATTTCCCTATAAATGCAACCTCTCACGAGCAACAACAGCAGCAGCACCACCACCATCCGCAATCCGAAAGATTTCCGATAATTATAAAATTATAATATATTTTCTTCCGAATTAAAGAAAACAAAAAATGGAGAAAAATGTGTCTGCTCAATCCCCTTTGGAGAGGAACACCGTGGCTGCTCTTGACCATAACCTCGCCATCGCTAAACGTTGTGCTCAAGGTTCTTGTTTTTTTTCCTCCCTATGTAATATATAATTAATTATCTGTGTATACATATATATATATTTATATATATATATATATTACGATTTTATGTATTTATTTTTATTATGTGTTTGGTCCGAGCAGAGGGAGTTCTCGCTGGAGCAAAGGCAGCCATTGTGGCCGGCTTTGCCGCTGCTGTTCCTACCGTAAGTTTCTTTTTCTTTTTTTGTTTTAAAGTTTTTTTTTTTTGCATTTTCAAATGCTAATATTGTTATTATTGTTATAATAATAATAATAGTAGTAGTAGTAGTAGTAATAATAATAATAGATTTCTCATAAATAACCAACCGGTTCGGTATAAAACTAAATTTAAAATTTCGTTATTGTTTAAAATAAGATTAAAGTGAGATATTATAAAATGCAGATGGCTAGTGTGAGGATGCTACCATGGGCAAGAGCTAATCTCAATCACACTGCCCAGGCTCTCATCATCTCAACCGGTACACTCAAACCGAAAATAACCGGATTTGTTTTTTCTAAACCAGAACCGATTAACTTAAAACCAATTTCGATAATTATTAACATTCAATAATTATTTTTGCAGCTGCGGGAGCAGCATATTTCATTGTCGCGGACAAGACAGTGCTGAAGACGGCAAGGAAGAACTCGTTCAAGCAAGTCCAAGAAATGGATCACTTCTAAACTTTGTAATCTTGCTAATGATGGGTTTTGCTTTTAATTGTATGTCTTAATCTATAATTAATTACTATCTTAAGATGCAATTAAGATAATTCATAATCGTAAGATCGTGTAATGAATGACAATAGAATCCAGTGGGTTTTAATCTCGAAGTGATATATGTTAAAATTACAAATCAAATAGTAAAAGAATGATAAATGTTTGCTATAATATTTTCTGGGGAAAAAATTACTTTTCTTTTTTGTGTTTCAACTTTCTTTCTCTAATAAGGCATTTTATAATCACAACTAAAAATATTTTGGGAATCAGAAAATTTTATCAATGAAATAGCGATCAAAAATTGAAATAATAAAACAAGATTCAAGCTATATCCATCAAATTTTATTAGAACAGACTTCAAATGTTTTAAATTAATTATTGAATGCGAATATAAAAATCGAAACATAAAATATCATATGTTTTTTTAGTGGGTCAATGAATTTAAGTATATCACTTTTTTGACGGTTTGATTTGTAATTTTCCTGCAAATGGCGAACGTCTCTCTGTTGCTGCAGAATGGCAGCTTCTCTTCAATAGATATCATAGGAAGCCAAAAATTTAACCAACTTGGTTAACTTAACCGGTGAAAAGAGAACGTAAAGTTGGGAAACGGGCCAAGTTCGAGGTTAAAGTTGGGGAAGGGAGTATAACTACAATCACATGTTTTGTTCCCGACCATTGGATTATTCTAAGGCTCGGCCCACGACGCCCGATTATCCAAAAAAAAAAGAAGCCAAAAATTTGTGATTCGTCCAACTCTGTGATGAATCTAGGATGTAAAATGGGCCAACTCGACAAAGATCGGTCCAAAAAAACTTACCCGAATCGTGATCGTTTACAACCTCGGTTGAAATCGCATAATATCCTTCTTCGTTCAGTGATTGAAATCCGATTACGAGAATTGGAAACACAATTTCAGGATCCAAATACCCTCTCGAAGAATTTGGTAAATCTCTTGTTTCGACATATTTTCTCTCGTATATCCGTCACGTAATGAGAGAATTCTATTCCATAGAAGTATAGACGTTATATCAAAGGGTCACAACTAATCCCAATAGTCATGTACCGTACACAGCCATTTATAGAGCGTCATAATCATCAACGAGTCAGAAAAATCTTAACTCGTTCCACATCGCTTTACCTCGCGACCCAAATAAAAAAATAAAAAAAATATCCTTTTGAAATAAAACAAAAATTTTCCGACTCATGACGGACTGGTTCTAAAGACCGTTTTTTTCGGGTTCGAATTTTTTTGAGCCCAAATCGGTAAAATATGGGTTGATCGGTGAACTAGACTCATTTTGACATGCATTGTCCAGAATGGTACCCTTTGTGGTTGTGTCATCACCCAATTGGCAAGCATGATGGTCGGATTGTTGTTGTTGTCTGCATGGGGACAAAAGGATATTACTGCTATTCATTACAGTTGCGACGCCAACCTTGAAAACCGGCTTTTGTGACATTATCCTCTTGGGATGCTTTCTTCTCTCTGGTATGCAGGGCCATATAGTGGACATATACTTGATTCAATCTGTACTGTCATTGCTATATTATGTTGCTCTATCGGGGATGATGGTTCGGCATTTCTACGATGTACCCGTTATTCTGAATCCGATTCCACAATGCGACGCAGTAGCATGGAGTTCCTGCAAAGAGTAGATGATTCTACTGTGTCAATCTTTGGATCATGTTGTTCAGACAGATCTCTGGCTTTCGCCTGTCCGTTTCATCCTTTAGCCGACAACTCATTCCGTCAGTCTTCTATTTTCGTTAACCGGAATGTTATACAGGTTACCGTCCAGTTGGCATGCGTAGACGCAAATGAGAAAGCAGAAGCTCAAAGATACATTCCCAAACCCTCAGATCCTCGGGAAATAGCCGAGGTATGTTATACAATGTATAACTCGATTAGGGTTTCTCAGTTTCTGTTTTCGCTTGTAAAAGAACTGATATCAAATTAGCAAAACCTACCCGTGATCATGTAGGACCGTACGAGAAACCATGAGACGATAGTTTCCTCTTCACGTTTTCGTATCTCTCAGGCTTGCGCTCAGATTGGTTTACGGCGGAGTTTCACATTGCAGCAACAACAACAACTACAACTAAGCAGAGAGAGTGAGATAAATCTTAAAGATAGCTTACTAAATCAAAGAATTTCGGCTCTTCATTTGATCAAAACGAATAACAAAACTGTAGTAATTACCTTGTTCATCAAAAATTCGATGTGCACTCTGAGGGAGACTTCCAAACCATTATCCATCAGGTTCAAAGACAATGGCAAAAGAACATGAAATAAGATCTTTGAGAGAGCTACGGACCGATGTGACGGGATCAGTTCTCGACAGGTTTCGTTGGAGTTTGACCCACGGGAAGGTCGTCGATCCAATCAGCATAGATTCGGTTAATTTTCTTGGGATTGCTCCACTTGAACAGGCACTTCTTCCTCCGAGCTTCTTCGTTCGGGCTGGAAGAAGAAGCTGCTGTCACTTGTGCAGTTGCTTTCGCTGCCAATGCATTGTTACCCGTCATTGTATGTAGTTTACTCGCATACCTAACTTCGCCTTCCACCCTTCCGACCGTGGTATGAAGCTCTGTGAATCCATAACAGCAGATGTTACTTAAACAAACAAACCCGAAAAATCTCCTTTATAGATTAGACAATATCATTCTCAATATCCACATATCACTACTGAGTGATACATAAAACGAGATTCGACACTAATACCGAGGAAAACAAGATCATACCACAAGACTCATAGCTAGAGATTCAATCAATGAGACAGAGAACAACACAGGTTACCAAAGAGACTTGACAATTGGAGACCAAAACCAAGTTATGATCAAACAGCAAAAACCCACCTGCTTGACCATGAGCAAAGTGACATTTATCACCAAAAGGGCAGTGACCCGTCATCTCAAACTTCATACACAATCTCGTCTTCCAATACACAGTCTTCGAATTCGAATTTGAATTCGAATTTGCGTTGCTCGATGGAACGGGAGGCGGAACTGGTATCAGCATTGGTCCACCATGGATGAGGGCTTCAATTTGACTAGCAGAAGAACACACATTGCCCACTAATGCATCAGAACCGCCATTACCAATGCTTATGCTAATCGCAGAGCTCTCCCTCAACTTGGACGAATCGTCCCTATACTTAGCCAAATCCTCATGAAGAAAATTGCATCTATCTCCATATGGGCACTCCTCTCCACAACAAAAACTCCTACAAAGCTTCATTCTCTGGATGATCTTTTGATCCTCATCCCAAGAATTCGTGTCGCCGACAACAACAGACAAAGTGTGTCGCTCTCGATCGCGATCACGTTCTTCGATCGCTGTCGCTCCGACAAGTTCTTGCCAATTCGACGGAGGTTGTCTCAGGTCCTCGATTCCATGAGCGAAGTTGCAGCCTTCTCCATTTCTACAGGCGCCGAGTCTGAATCTGGCGCACATTCTCGTCTTGTAGAAGATGTTCGCAGTGCCTTTGTTCGCCGGCGGCGCCATCGCCATCGCCGTCGTTCTTGAATTCATTTGCCGGTAAAAATGGAGAAGTGTGTTTTCTTGCGGCGGGTTTAGGAACCCTGAAACCTAATTGTTCAGAAAATGACCCTTTTCTTTTCTGTATTCCTCCTCTCTTCACTAGTAATGGTAATAAGGGAGGTTATTTTGGTTGAGTTCGATTATTTTTTAGATCTCATAATTTAGTTTTTAAAAATCATAATTAATCCGTGGTTATATTCGAGTCCGTTTAATTCGATTTATTTTTTTTAATTCGATTCTATTTCAATATTTTTTAAAATGGTCATTTTCTACCTTTTTTAGTTTTTGAAATAAATAAACTTCATTTTTTTTATATTCAAACATTTTCCTAATAATTGATCTTTTATATTCAAGCATGTCTAAAATAAATAAACATTCATACCAAAAAAAATAATAATAAACATCCATATTTTATATCTATCTAAAGGTAAAAAAATAAACAAATGTCAATTTTTTTCCTGTGATTGATTTTTTATATTCCAACGTTTTCCCCCCTATGATTCATCTTTTATATTCAAACATGTTTAAAATAAAATAAACAAAAGTTCAGCTTCTTATATCTAGCTAAATGTTAATTTTTTTTTTCCTATGATTGGTCTTTTATATTCAAACAATTTTTTATCTTGTAATATTTTTCAATATCATCCATACTTAATATAAAATATGTTAGATTTTTTAATATTGTGTGAACTGATTAATTATTGTCATGTAAACTAAACATTTTTATTCTACGTAAACAAATTATTTGGGGAAACTGCTCATTATCTATACCACTTGTGACAACCCAGAGTACCGTAGGAGGGCGGGGAGTGATCGCCGGTGCAGAGGCACGGACAAGGGGCGGCTCCTGACGAACTTCTGGGTAGGGGGTACAGGGATGAATCGAACACATCGGAATGAGAGAGATCCGAGGGTTGTATAGGTATGGGACTATACGGTCTAAGATAACATAAAAGAATTAGTTGAGCTACTCATAGCAACAAGGTGCACCTACCTTTTTGGTTGACTATCCCGAGAGAACTCCAAAGTTAAACGTGCTGACTCTGGAGCAATTTCAGGATGGGTGACCTACTGGGAAGTGTCTCGGTATGCGTGCGAGTGAGGACAAAACACGCTGAAAGGTCTCGGGTTGCTGTGTGAGGGCAGTTTCGACAATTCGTAGCGGCCTCGGTCGTTATACCACTTATACAGACGATCACTTTCCAACCTCATCTATCTCGAGATGTCACAAATAATGTTTCCTAAAAAAAAATTATTCGATATTTGAAATTGTCGTTATAGCTTTCCAAAGGATAGGAAATATGAGTATTGAACAGACACAATCAATAGTTAGGGGGCAAAATTAGAAATTCCAAAACATTGAGGGGAGAACTTGAAAAATGCGAGGTGGCATACATACATACATACATACATACATGCCACTGCCAAATACTCGATAAAAATGAAAAGTTAGAAAGCTTATGGCTTATGGACAGCATGGCATCATAAAAGAGGCATCAGGTTCTCACCTCTATTATTATTTATAATGGTCCTTCCTTAGTATTATCTCTCATAAACTCTTTTTGTCTCTCGAAATTCTTTTAGATGAACTTTACACTACACGAAACACGATTGAATTGGTCCAAAGGGCTTAACATATTGTTCGTATTTATTTATTTATTTATTATGTCTTTTTTATAAAATATAAAATCGTATTAACCCAAAACTTAAAAAAAAAAAATAGTATGTATAGAAATCGGGGAAAAAAAAGGGTAATTGAATCCAATGGTGGTGTAACAAGTAACCAAAGTAACTATCATTATCACATATATCTATTTTCCCAAGTTTTCCATCAAGACAACAACAATTAGATGATTGGTAATAAATATATTCCGTTTTCTTGGATTTTTTCATTTTGAAATCATAGCTTGAGATTCGATGGACCACCCAAAGCCAAAAGGCAAATTCACTTGTCGTGGTTTCCACAAATGGAAATTTATTAACTAAAATCTTGAAATTATACGAAGATAGTATACTCTCGACCCTTTTCATATATAAAAATGTTTACAACTTAATATATACTTTATTTTGTCAACCATCTTTCTTTTTTTATTTTCATGTTTGCCATTCTCCAGGTTCTCATTCTTATAATGTTCATGTATACATACATTACATGATTCACATTCATTGACCTCGACAAATTGCCCTTATACCGAATGCTGTGATATTTTATTCATAACCTAATAATATATAAATAAATGACAGTCTCAAATTAGATTAAAAAAATATAAAGGTAACATCGAATATTCATAAATATTTTTAAATATATATTTTCTATATTTGATAAGATTTTCATGATACGATATATATCGTAATATGTTTTTCAAGATACAATATATTTCTAATGTCCAAAATATATATATATATTTCTAATGTGATTTTGCGTCATAGCAAAGCTAATTTCTTGCTTCCTTTTTCTCCTATATATACATAATGTGGTGGTTACGTATAATGTGAATAGCTTCTTTTTTTTTTTACGTGCTTAACCTAAATTGTCAACGTAAGAAGCCATGCACGTTGGAATGTGGCGACCCTTGTTGCCGCTGTTACATGGCGATGTTTCTTGAAAAACAAAAGGGGGAACAGCAAGAAGATCAAGAAGGATTCCCGTGACGAACCAAACGTGATTTTCTCATTCCCTTTGTTCATATTTGGTCGTAAAATTACAGATCGTTTTCGTCCGGTTCTTTCCCATATTTGTTGATTACAGTCTCGTCAATTAGGCACCGCCTAGAACAAAATATGAAATGAATGTCAATCCAACGTCTCATATCAAATCATACGTCGAAATATATGTATAGCTCATGCGAGGATGATGAATTCCGAGATTTGTCCTCACCGTAATCCCTCGGCGTCTTGCATTTGAAGCATTCCGCCCTACTAGCATAATTATGAACTCCGCACCCGACCCTGTCCATCAAAATTTCTTCGAGGTTAGTTCTATAAAATTTCTACTAGGGATTTACACATTGTCATTTGAAGAATTCAATAGATTATTTAAAACTTTGTTGCCATAATCTTGATTAGAAAATCTTGTAATAGGCACTTTGTGATCATAGAACTGATTCTCAGCCGAAAATGTTCCTTCATTCAAAAAGGGAATGGACGGTTTGATTAATCTCGAAATAATATGTACCTAGAACAAATCCAGTCGCCCGATTTCCAACCGGGAGGATACGCCCCTGCTTCATTTCCATAAGCAACCATTTGAGCTCCATAATATTCCGTGTAATCTGTTTTGAGCATTCCACAACGATAACAGCTTGTTCGGCTCGCGTAGTTATGGCTACCGCAGTTTAAGGCCGAGCAATACCAATCTCCGGCCAAGGTTTCAGTCCTGTTGTACAAGTATGTCGATACATCGGGACCCCCGAATTTCGGGTACCCGCATTTCTGACATATCTCTCTTTTCTTGAAGTTGGCGTGTTGACACGCCGCACACAGCCAGTCTCCTCCTGTCCAGCTCATCCTTCTGTCTTTATATATGTATTGCCTGAAAACGTTCAACGGCGCTAGAGGCTTAGAGAGCAGAACTGCCCGAAAATCTCGTTGCTTGACAAGGAAGTAAGAGAAATGGGTCGGATTTTAGATGGATTGTAAAGAAGAAATCTTACCCGAATTAGAAGAAGAAGAAGAGGAGAAGGTTAAAAGAACAAGAACAAGAGAGAACAAATGAAACGTAGAAGCAAGTGGTGAGCTTTGGTGGTTTTAGGAATAAGGCTTTATATAACCATTTTGAGATGCCCATTCCCATCGACTTTCTTGGGTTTCTTGGAGATAAAGTAAAAGAGAAATTGATAAATTAAAAAGGAAATTGAAACTGTGTTTCATGGGAAGGAGAAAGTGCCGTAAAACATCGGTGGGCGCGAAATTACGAGAATAACCTTCTTCTTTAAGCGGATTCCCGTTTGCATTATTGCGAGGAAAAGGGGGACACGATGAAGGGTATTATTCTCTCTTGCCCCCCATGGCCATTTTCGAAGCAAGGTGCTTTGAGGGGGAGACATTATTTGAGTTGGTGACTCACTAGGGTTTGTGCATTGAACCGTTTCTTCCCACAGTTTGATGCAAAAACACAATATACATATCTAGTTGAGGATTTTGTCAATATTTAAATATGAAATTAGTAACGAATCACGTAGAGATATTCAATTTGATAGCTTGGAAGTCAAAGTTGATGAGCCGAATCCATTCTTTTTGAACTAAATTTCAAAGGGTTCGATGAAGAATTATATAACTTTTCATGAAAGTTGATGATATTTTATACAAAACCACCTATAACTTCTATCACATGAAGAATTGTGTACATTTAAGTGGAAAATCCATCATAGATAACCATTCATAATCTTTAACATACGTTATCATGCATAAATGAGTTATTGTTTGTCTAAAATATCCAACAAGAAATTAAACTAGTGTTTCGTATAAACCTACGGCGCTTATGGTTGAAACCCTTGATTTGGTGAAGATGTTTAAATAGTGGACACCATTCACTTTGACGGTGTTTTATGTAGTGAATGTGACGCTTCACGAACGCTATAGATGTTGAAATTTGTCCCTATCGATCAACACATGACCTTTCACTGTATTTTGTATTCATTCGCATATTTACCGAGAAGTATTTTTCAGGATATCACTCATCCTAAAACTACTCCCAAACGAACGCTCTTAATTTTGAAGTTTTCTCGGATAAGTAACCGAAAAGGTAGATATATCTTGTTAATATGAGTAGTTCAATCAATTCTAAATATTATCGACCGTATAATCTTATACCTACATAATTATCTCTTCTCATTTCGATGCGTTCGATTCATTTCCATATCCCTCCTATCTGAAAGCATGTCAAGAACCACCCCTTTTCTGTATCATTTTGTAGTGGCGATCGTTCATTGCCCTCATCAATAACCGAGATGTCACATTGATCTTGTATAATACAATTTCATACTTGGTAAAAAAATGCTTTGCTTGGACTGCGTTCTACATTGCAAAAGCCCTAATCATTGAATCGTCTGTTGGATTTTTTCTCACATTGCGACTCTAAATCTCAAATTCCCCCGTCGATGTAAATGAAATTAATTACGTGGAATATTGTGGACCTGTAAGTTGTTTGCAAAATATTATTGGTACAACGTTATAATTAAAATTAGACAAATATTCTTATAAAATGCAAATCCTAAATGTATTTATCTTCTCATGTAAAATACAAGATATGCTGAATTTTAAAGAAAAAAAAAACCGGGAAAAAAATCACATAAATCCTAGTTTCTCTTCCTCGGTTGCCGATATGTGCTCTTGGACTATCGATGTATCAGTAACATCTCATGAATGTTATGGAGGTTGAAACTGTTTCTGCCGATCAACACAAAATCTTTAAACGTGTTTTTGTCATCACTCGCATCGTTCCTGATGCTATTCTCAAGTGAACATACTTAATTTTGGAATTATCTCAGAGACAACCGAAAAGATAGATAATTTTGTTGATACCATTAGTTTAATCAATTCTCTTAAATTATTATTGACTTTATAATTATTGACTTTATAATACCATATCTAAACAACAATCAAATCCTATTTATTTCGGTATGTTCTATTCATTCCTTATCCGTCCTATTTAGAAGTTTTCGGGAATCATTTTTTATCCCTATCTTTTTCATATCGGTAATCATTCTCGGTCATCATCGATAACCGGGATGTCAGAATTGAGTCACAGTCATCAATTATGTAATCATGCCATCAATTATGTAATAAATACTAATAAGGGACTAAAATGTCACTTCTATGAAAAAAATCATACACTAATTATGATTATATTCTTGTCTTGTTCTTTCTATTCCCAAAATGCAATGCATACGGTTTTAAAATGCATAATAAATAATTATGAAAATAGAATTTTATGAATAAGGAGTGGAAAAAAAAGGGAATAAAAGATATGGGATTTTGCCATTATCCAAAATCTCACAGATGAGACTCCCCCGGGTGAAGGCTGTGGTATGATTTGTCTTTTGGGGGGCCATGTGAGGATCTAATGTTAAAATTACGCAGACAATATTAAAGTGAAAAAGAAATATGAAATTCATTTAGAATTTATTCTTTTTTTATTTATTATTTTGCTTTTTTGAAGACATTCTTATTTCTTCCCCTCTTAATGTGTCTTATTATTCTTTTCGTTCAATAATTCAAAAAATGGCATCACTTCAAGATTCACTCACAGCGTTTCCCAATTAGAGCATGGTCTATGTTCATTCTCCCCAAACTGAACCGGTTTGATCAAACCAAACCGAAAATTTTCATTCGAATCGAATCCATGCCGAATTAAAATTGAATTAGACCTTTTTTGGCTGTGGATGCTAAGCTCAAAATTGAATTCTAATTTTAATGTTTTTGGGTGGTAAACAAACCGATTTTCTTGAAATATTTGTATCACCGGTTTTTCCCCATCGAACTAAACCGAATAAAAAAATGAATAAAACCAATGGATGATATGAATGTAAGGTGGTATAATTAGACCAAATTGTTATGGCCAACCAAGAAAATAAAAATCTAAAAACGATGTGATCTGCTTTTTATGAGGACACGAGGGAATGTTCTTGAGGAATGCGGCGAGACGACGCGGCAATGCATTATGCATCGACGATTTTCTGTATATGTTTCTCCTTTTTTTTTTTATAAAAAAATAATAATATTTTGATGTTGCATCTTCAACCATTTTCTGTATATGTTTCTTGAGACACAAGCAACATTGAATTGATAATATTTGACATGACTAACGAAGTGGAGTTCAATATCATGCGAGTATGACTCGTTTCTATTATATATATATTGATTCTCATCAATTTACATCAAGCATATTTGGAGGTGATGGTTTTTGTATGATGCTTGTATTGAGAGTAATGGTTTTTTTTCAAGTGCGTTAATATAACCTTTTTATATATAGAATGGGTATATAATTTTTTATTATGAAAATGAAATATATATGCGGTTTTATATGAAATGTCACGATTGAACTTTGAAAATAAACATTTTGGTGGCTATAAATCAGACGGATGTCACACATATATATAAGAAAAATATTATATGCTTTTTGAAAGTCCGGTGTTTTTTTATTTTTAAAAAATCAATATTTTTACATGGAGATTATCGGAAACTCGTTTTTTTCATATGGTTTGAAAGCTATCGCGTGGGACTGCAGATTCGAAGAGTCGTGGTGATTCCCTCCATTGCACAGAAAAAAACTCTACTCGTTGTGCCTTCTTCGCATCCTAAAGGTGTATTTCATAGATTATGGTGTTGACTGGTAGAATCGTAATCGCAGCGATTGCGGGCGTTTACGATGCGTTTGCTGGCGATTCTAAACGATTGGTACTGAATGGTAGAAAAACTGTTGTTGGTAGCGATTGCGAGTGATTGCAATTTAAAATGACTAGTTGACAGCGAATGAGACTGCGATTTGGTTTAAATTACAAAAAAAAAACATCATTTTATTATATACAATAATAACTATTTTTAAAATATTTTTAATTAGTTTTTTACTATTATTTAATATCAAATAATTATTAAATTTATAAATAATTAATTATAAATTTTAAAATATAATTTTATTATCAATTTAATTTATTTTCAAAAATAAATTCAACATTAAAAATATTTTAAAAATATTTATTGGTAAAACCAAACAATATCAAACATAATATATACCAAATAAAATTATTAATATATTTTTTAAATTTATGTATGTATATATATATTATGTATATAAATATATGTATGTATATATATATGTATATATGTATCTACGTATATGTATGTGTGTGTATGTATGTATATATATGTGTGTATGTATGTATGCATGTGTGTATATGTGTGTGTATATATGTATATATATGTTTATATATGCACGTGTGTGTATATGTATCTATGTGTATATGTATATGTATGTATGTGTACGTGTATATAGATGTGTGTATCTATATATGGTTATTTGTGTATATATATGTATGTGTGTATGTATATATGTGTATATGTGTGTGTATATGTATGTATATGTGTGTATATATATGTATGTATGCGTGTATATATATGTATGTATGCGTGTATATATATGTATGTATATGTTTACATATGTATGTATGTGTATATGTATATGTATGTATATATGTGTATATATGTATATACGTATGTGTATGTATATATATGTGTATTATATATGTATATATTTATATATTTCATATATATATATACACGTACGTAAATTCTTTATATATATAGTATGGTATGTATGTATATATATATTAATTAATATCAGGGGTATTTTGGTTATTTAATCAAAACGTTACAAAACGCTATCGTAACGCAATCTTTTAGCTGCGATTAGAATATTGATGTTTTGTTGTGATTGTGGGCGATTGCGTTACCATCAGTCACACCCTCAATCACCCGTAATCACCAGAAGTTGTAATCGCTATTATTGCGGACGATTGTGTTACCATCAGTCACACTCTATACCGATATGGAGTTAATGAAATAGCAATTTTCGAAAAGTGATTACACGCATGAAATGACATCCGAATCTTTGCTATTCTATGAGTTCCAACACATATTGACGGCTTAGCCACCACAAATGGGACTCGTGTGTATATATATATATTGTCTTAATACAATGTTTGGAGACCTCTTGTAGTATGAGACCAAGTTTCAATGGTTTTATCGTTATAAAACCGTTGATAATTGCAACAACGTTCAACGGTTTTCTCCACGGCATTTGCAACCAACGATCCTCGTTGTCGTTTTGTTCGAACTTTTTTTTTTTTTTAATCGGGTTTGCAACGAATTCATATTTGTCGCGAATTTGCCCATTGTTCTATAGTGTTTTTATATTAAATTATAACGGATTTTTTGTTTTTGGAACTAAGGGCTACAAAAGATACTATAAGAATATATGATTGGGTTAGACCGGTCCAACTTGATTTTGTATAAATAAAAATATGTTCTAGATGAATTATTGAAAAATATAGAGAAAAAAAAATCCTCGAATTTCATTGGAATCTCCGAAAATATATTACAGATACATTGTAATAGTTCTTTTTTTGAAAAAACGGGCAAGTAAATGAGAAGGATGCTTGCGTGTTGAAACCGAGGGGGATTCGATAAGGAAGAATCCTAATCAACAAAAAATAATAATAATTATTTGTTTTTTTGTGACAAAGGGATCTCATCACTTGAATATATTCTTGATGGACTGACCATTACTACATCTTTCAATATTCCATTGTCGTGGCGTTAATTCACTTAATTATTTGTATTTTTCGTTTTTTTTTCAGCAGTTATACACGAAAATTGACATTAATAAAAAAGAAGAAGAGAGAATCGATATCCTAGGCATAAGGTATAAAGGGTTACTTTCCAAGTTCAATTCCTCTGAATATTCCCATCCTGCCACGTCAGCTCTTGGGTTATAATCTTAAAATAATAAAAACATCTTGATATTTATACATCTATATATTAATTGTTTAAGATTGATACATTTTAGTGATTCAAATTTCAGCCTTTATACATATATACACACGTTTCCTTTCATTCCGACCAATTCGAATAAAATTATAGGTCCGGGTTGTTTTTCTTCATTGGAGATTTTTGTTCATGGTAATGATACTATTTATAATACGATACTGAACAGAAACATGGCATTGTCAATATTATGTATGAAATTCAACTCGATTTTATTGATTATTGTGAATAATAACTCAAGACCAACTTATAATAAAAGGACATCTAGTTCGTTACATAACATGTAACTACTTCACTGTTTTGTCGGAGGAGTGACTGTCCGAGAGCAACTATCTTTGAGAAGAGGAGCAATGAAGGGCGTTAGAGGGAACATCTGGGGCAAACAACTCTCGCTTACAGCCAAAAACTCTTTGCAACACGGGATGCCGATACTCCCAAACTGTCCCGAAAATATCGACGTCGATATTTGAAGCAGACATCCTGGAATGTTAATGAGGGTCGACCAACATTTTGATAGATCAATCGGAAAATCGGATGGGAAAAGTCCCGAAAACTGTTGTGGTTGTTGCACCTCAGCTAAACCTGGCTTTACAAAGTCACTGATGGATAAAGCCGTAACTAGGAACATCGCGAAAAGCACTCTTGATTTGTTTTCCATTTCGAAATTTTGGGGAAAAAGAGAAAATCTCACTTTATATTTTCGGAATGCAAAAAAAAAATGTTTGGATGATGTGAGTATGTGAAGAGCGCAAGATACTTATAGGGGTAGAAATTGAGAAGATATTTAATGAAAAAGAGTTATCACATACATACATTATAGAACGCTTAGTATAAACCCTAAATGAATATTCAATTCTTCAAAATAGTAACTCCCTTTGCTGTTTTTAAATTTGTAAATTTGTTTGAATGTGCTGTTGACTAAAAGCTGTAAACGTCAAGTGCCATCAATTATATGCTTAGGTGTCATAGTGACATGGACTTAAACGTCGAGTGCATAAGCGATTGTGCATGTATATATATATATATGTTGTTAAAATTTATATTTCAAAATCAAAGTTTACACAAAGAGTTCAAATTTCCTAATTATAGGAAAAGAACATTAGGACGTTTTCCTACAAATATAAAGACAAACACAAGTTTAACATGGATACATGAGAATGAAAAAATTCAACAATATTGATAATCCGAACCAAAAACAGTGCATTACAGTAGCAAAGCATATATATATATATATATATATATATATTATATATATATATTGGTTTTGTTCTTTAATATTTGAAAAGAAATATTATGTTATTATTAAAGTCTCGTTGACTTAGAGTTGACAGAATAAGAATCCGTAAACGTCGTTTAAAGTATTGTTCAAATGAATTGAAATGTAAAATGCTAATCATTTTTTGAAAAGTTTATTATTACATTGTACTTTTTTGGAAAAAAATTAAGAACTTATGCATTTTATTGGGAGTTTGGTAAAACCTAGGCTATGAATAAGGGTGTAAAACGAGTCCGGTTCGTGGACTAGTTCGCGAGCCACCCATATTTTTCCAAGTAAGACTCAAAATGTGTTAGTCCAGAAAAAAAATTGGATTGGTCCGTGAATCCAAAAAAATATTTTTTTAATTTTTCTTATTTTTTTATATATTTTTAAATATTTTTATATACAAATGGTTTTTCATTAGATATTTAATTTATTTTGTTTAAAATTTTAAAATTTTATTATATTTATAACAGTTATCATATTTTTAAATATTTTTAATATTTTTAATATTTAAATTTAATTTTTTAAAATTAAATATTTGACTCATGAACCGATTCGTTTAGATTGCAAGTTAAGACGATATGGGGTGGACTGGTCAATTTTCGCCGGAATAAAAAATGGATCAGGTTGGGTTGGGTTAAAATATTCATAGATCAGAATGAGATGAGTTAGACTGGATCAACCAACCCGTTTTACACCCCTAGCTATGAATGGTGATATTTTTTATTTTTAGTTTTTTGTTTTAGTTTTTAATTTGTAGTTTTTAGATTTTGGCTTTTGGTTTTTGTAGTTTTTAAAAACCTTGAATGGAAAAGTAATATTTTAGTTTCTAGATTTTAGGTTTTAAATATAAATTTAAAAAGCAATATTTATATATATATGTATAAAGTAAAATTTTCTTTAAAATTATGGGTATTTTTGATACAAGTGTTGATTATAGTTTTTTTTTTCCTTTGGGTTGATATACTAACCTGCCATTGTTTTCGGTAGCAGAGATCAGATACGCAATCTGTAAATCCTCCATCATCGTTGTTTATAAACAATATGACATACATGAGCTTGGCACTAGGAGAAATCCTTGAGCTTAATTTAATTTAAAAGGAACCACGTTTGATGCTCGAGGAACCAAGGCAAGAAGTCTGTATGCGACTTCAAACCAAGACAAAAACCTCCATTACTGTTCATCGTCCTCTTCATTCTTGTTCATGGTAATGATACTATTCGTAGTACGGTACTAAACACAAACATGGTATTGTAACTAATCCGAATGTAATTCAACTCGTATTTTATTGATTATAGTGAATAAAAACTTAAGACCACCAAAAGACATAATAAAGTTTTGTAATAAAAGGACACCTAGTTCTAAGGCTACATAACATGGTAGCATCACGTAACTACTTCACTGTTTTGCCGGAGGAGTGACTGCCCGAGAGCAACTATCTTTGAGAAGAGGAGCAATGAAGGGCGTTAGAGGGAACATCTGGGGCAGACAGCTCTCGCTTACAGCCAAAAACTCTTTGCAACACGGGATACCGATATTCCCAAACTGTCCCGAGAAAATCGACGTCGAGATTTGGAGTAGACATCCAGGAATGTTAATGAAGGTCGACCAGCATTTTGATAGATCAATCGGGAAATCGGATGGGAAAAGTCCCGGAAATTGTTGTGGTTGTTGCACCTCAGCTAAGTCTGGCTTTACAAAATGGCTCATGGATAAAACCATAACTAGAAACACTGCGAAAACTACTCTTGATTTGTTTTCCATTTCGAAAATTCTGGGGAAAAAGAGAAAATCTTACTTAGAAGGCAAAAATATGTTTGGATGATGGGAGTATGTGAAGAACGCAAGATATTTATAAAGATTGAAATTGAGAAGATATTTAATGAAAAAGAGTTATCACACATTATAGAACGGTTAGTATAAACCCAAATGAATATTCATCAATTCTTCAAAATAGTAACTCCCTTTGATAATTTTTGAAATTTATAAATTTGTTTGAATGTGCTGTTGACTAAAAACTGTAAACGCCAAGTTAATGTTGCCATCAATTCATGCCTAGGTGTCATAGCGATGGACTTAAACGTCGCGTGCATAAGCGATTATGCATATTATATATGTATGTATATATATTGGTTTCGTTCTTTGTTATTTAAAAAGAAAAAAAATATAATGTTATTATTAAACTCGGGTTGATACAATATTTTGATTTTGATGACACAATAACAATGTAAACGTCGTTAAAAGTATATATATATGTTTTTGTAACCGGATATCTTTGATCGAATTAAGGACTAATTCTGGGGTCGCGAACAAAAAATGTGATTGAAATTATACTCCCCTCCCCAACTGTACTTTTTGATATCAATCGAAATGTTAATAGCTCTCTCATTTCTTGAAAAATTTATTATAAAATTGCACTTTTTTTAACAAATATGAATTTATTTATTTAATTGGAAGTTATGCATATATAACGTATAGTATACGGGCATCCTAAGGAGGTTCCTCAACCTTAAAAGACAGATCATATTCGGTTCTATTCATATGTGCAGAACTTCAAATACCCTTCAGATAATTATATTCAAAGTCCTTATAACATCAATGGACAACATCGCTCGGAGTAAGATTGATGAAAATAATCAAGAAAGCTTATTTCAATTGTATATAATCATTTAATGACATAAATTTGATATTTTCTAATGTAAAACGATATCGATTTTCTTTTTTTGATTATCTGAAAGTTCACTTAATCTTTGATCCAACTACATCTCTCACAGTATTAGAAAAGCCCATATGAATGTGCTTCCGCAAGTGCAAACTCGAATCTAGGTTGGAAAGAAATTTTTGCTATCTTTTTACTAGTTGAGTCAACCAATTTTGGGTAAGACCATATCGTTTTGTTTTCATACCATTGATTAGATATATAAATAGCATGAAAATTCGCATTTCTTATGTTCATTTTCTATGCCAAGATTTGCTCGGCTAAACAACGGGATCATTTGAACTTGAGACGCTTGGTGTATTCCGCGAGTGCCCACAACGTAAAAGAGTTCCTGAAGTTCGGATAATGTAGCATCACATTCATCTTGAAAACTCCCATGATCCCCTGCATCAACCGTTCGTTCTATATAATTCGCTTCCTGAGTCGGAAAAAGGAGCTACGAAGAAAACAATATCACCTCTTGAGGAAAATCGCCATTTTCCAATTGCGAATTGATCACCATTTTCGCAGCACGGTGAACAGGGGCAGGCCCTCTCTCCATCTATGGTTCAAAACATGTATAATTAGACACAGGTTTTACCATTGAAACAAATGTCTGCATATATTCAGCATCTTCACTAACCTGTCCGGCCAGTATCAAACCCATCATGGCTTCAGCGGTATGCACAACATCGGACTTGTTTCCTTGTAGAGGAGTGTATTTCTACGGAAGATGAATGAGTAGTTTCTATAAGCATTTGATTCTTTAATAACATAGAATCTTCTAAAAAATCAAGTTTTTTTAAAATGTTTCATATAAAATCACAAATTTTGTACATTCTATATAAAACCATGAATCTTTTTTAATCTTGTTATATTCTCACATACTCAACAGCTTTATGAATTTTGTAACTTCCATATAAAATGATGAACTTACGAGTTTTGCGAGAACATGACAAGATTTATGAAGTTACTAATTTTAGGGCAATTGGAAAATTATGACAAATATGTCACATCATTATAAATCTATACTTTTTTTAGTTCCTTTACAAATTATATCTTTTTATAAATTTTTGACAAAAATGTCATTACTTTATTGTATAATTTCAATATTGTCATTATGAAAAGCGCATATTTTTTTAGAAAATTATGTTATTTGGAAAAATATTTCTTTTATTCGGAACAATTATTTTTTATCCGAAAGAATTTGTTTTCATACAAAAAAATTATTTTTTTATACAAAGAACAATTTTTTTATTCGGGAGAACAGTATCTCATCCGGAAGAATTGTTTTTATCCAAAAAAGATTGTTTTTTGTCCGGCCAAAATGTTTTTTGTCCGAAAAAATCTATTTTTGTCCGGAAAAACAGTTTTTTTATCCAGTATAATTATTTGTCGTTCGAAAAAATCTGTTTTCTTCCAAAAGAACTGTTTTTTATAAAAAAAATAATTTTTTTTATCCGGGAGAACTGTTTCTCACCGTAAGAATTGGTTTTCATCCGGGAAAGACTGTTTTTTGCTGACCAAACTGTTTTTTGTCCGAAAAAATCTATTTTCGTCCGAAAAAACTGTTTTTTCATCTAGGATAATTATTTGTCGTCCGTGAGAATCTGTTTACGTCCAAAGAACTATTTTTTTATACGAAAAAATAATTTTTTTATCTGGGAGAACTGTTCCTCGTCCGGAAGAAATGTTTTTTCATCCAGGGAAGAATTTTTTTTGTCCGGCCAAATTGTTTTTTATCTGAAAAAATCTATTTTCGTCAGGAAATTTTTTTTTTTCTATCTTGAATAATTGTTTGTCGTCCGGAAGAATCTGTTTTCATCCAAAAGAACTGTTTTTTATACGAAAAATATTTTTTTTATCCGGAAGAACTGTTTCTCATCCGGAAGAATTATCTTTTATCCGGGGAAGATTGTTTTTTTGTCCAAACAAACTGTTTTTTGTCCGAGAAGGATAATCTTTCCCGTATAAAAAAAGTTCTCCCGATGAAAATATACTTTTTCAGAGAAAAAAATTCTTTCGGATAAAAAACATTCTTTCCGAGATGAAAACAATTCTCTCGGAAAAAAAATTATTCTCTTGGATAAAAATTTTCGGATAAAAAACAGTTCTTTCGGATAAAAAAAAAAGTCTTTTCCGGATGAAAAAATAATTCTTTCGGATGAGAAAGAGTTCTTCTTGATAAAAAATTATTTTTTCGTATACAAAAACAGTACTTCCAAATGAAAACAGATTCTTCCGGATGAAAATAATTGTGCCGAATAAAAAAATAGGTTTTCCAGATAACACATTTTTCCAAAAAAAATTGTTTTTTATGCTGCAAATTTTTTGAAATAATTTTTAATGGTAATGTTGAAATTATACAATAAAGTAAAGGTATTTTTGTCAAAAAATTATAAAAAAAATATAGTTTGTAAAGGAAGAAAAAAACTATAGATTTCTAATGATGTGGCATATTTGGATACTGATGTCCATTTTTCCATGGTTTTATATAAAAATTATAAAGTTCCTGATTTTATATGAAGCTTTTTAAAGTTCGTATTTTTAAAACGATTGTACTTTGATAATATAAAAGTTATGTGTTTTTTCAAGGAAAAAAGGATGAAATCATGCAAGACAAATACATTTTGAGGCATTACCTTATTAGGGCAAGACAAGTAGCTTTCACCCCACCCACCATCGATGTTTTGGGTCCGAAGAAGAAACTCGACCGCTCCACGAACGGCTGCACAGTTTGCATAATCCTTCCCGGCAGCCACAAGACCTCGTAGCGCAAAGAACGTACCATAGAAGAAGCACACGCCCCAGTTACCATACCTGCATATGTGTTCCATGGAAGTTCCAATTAATTTTTTTTCCTTAAAACTGATTTCGTTTAGCTGAATAATGTCGAAGGTCATACCAAGAACCATCCCCCGTTTGCTTTTTCTCGATATAATCTACGGCTTTCGTGATGAAACTTTCGATCTCTTTCTTCCGGTGATCTGGAAAAACATTTCTAAAGGACACCAGTGCCACTACCGCTGAAGCTGTGCACTCCACATACCTACCGTTCCAATTTTTACTAAATCATAGTGTATATACGACATATCTCAACATAAATTCGTGTCCATATGTTAGTAACCATGGCGACTTACTCATGTTCCACAACCATATCTTCCATGAACTCCACGGGACTAAACCACTAGACAAAATTTCGGAACACGTGATTCATTGTTAGCTAGCGAGGTTTTTTTCGCCATTGTCGATTAATTTTAATGAAAACGTTAAGGCGATATAATAAGCTAATACCTCCATCCAATGCTTCCCAACCGCGGGCTCCCATGCAGATACACCTCCGTTTTTGCTCTATTTAGTTTCACAATATATGGGCAAATTGTTACTATCATACTTATGAAGTCAAGCCATTTGAACTCTTAAAACCACAAGACAAGTGTTACCTGTAGAGAGAGAAGGAAGTTAACTGCATCTTGTAACCTCTCTGGTTCAATTTTCTCTCCAATAAACTCCGGTGACATGGTTGAAAAGACTAGGCAACACTGATACACACACACACACACATATATATATATAAGTTAATATAGTGATAACATAAAGCTTTCCCTTAAAATAATTCTTAAGAGAGAAAAAAATGTCGACCTCTAAACTTTCAGCAGTGCAGTCTAAAACTCCCCATCCTTGATCTTGGTCTGTGAATGTCCATGATCCTTTTGAGATGTGTCTAAACATTTTTTTGTGATTATCGGGCGGATCCTTTGCTACCTGTAGAAAAGCAAAGGGAAAAGAGAACTGACTTACCAAAACAATGGTGGGTACAACACATTGAACTCAATCTACTGTGATATCTTTCTCTTTGGTACACAAACCTGAGATTTCTTCAAGTAGTCATATCCCTTGATGAGTGTTGATCTTATTTCATTTCCAAACTCGGTTGCTAGCAGGGCTTGAAGTGAAAACGTTGTATCCCACAATTGGCTGCCGAAAGACTGCACACAAAGAACATGTAGTGTTGTTGTCACTCAAGAATCAAGCAGTCATTTCAAACAAAATGAAAACAGGCATCAGAAGATGACAGAAATGGAAGACAGAGAAGCAAGAAGAGAAGTTAGAGAACTTATGCAATGACCAACAGTTGTTTCAATTTGTTAGACAAACCTGGATTTTCATACCATCCTCCCCCACCCATATGAAATCCTTGACTCGAGCGAGATGCTTCTTGAAGTAATCGCTTTCAGGGTCTTCAACCCAACAAGCAAGCATAAAAAACGGCTATCAAAGCGAAAAACCACGATAAGAAAACTGTATTATAGAAACAAGAAAGGTATTTTAAGGTTGGCATATGTGAGGAAGGGAGTGTGTAGATGAAGGAAAAGAGCGTACATTTCAAGCATATTACCTTTTCGACGCATCCACCTGTAATGTATCGACTTGCTTCGTCGTAATAGTGGATGAGTTCCATTGTCGTTTTAAGAGCCTTTTGTCTTATCAACTTGTTGAAAGGCCAGCGGTTTAGAAAAGGTTCAGAGAACGTATGAACAATATCCCAAAACAAATTATGTGCAAGGGTCTGAGTGTAGTAGAGATCTTCCTGCATACAAACAGACGATTCTCGATGTATAAACATAGATGTTGCGTGTGTGTATGTTTGTCATTAGAAGTCCATTATACTGTATTGGATATCCATACCTTTGCACATTGGTGTCGCGCTCTCTTCCAATCAATCGTATGGTAAGGTTGAGTGTAGAGTTCTTTTCGAAGCTCTAAAATTAGAGGCGTTGGGGAAGCAACGAACTTTTTACCATACAAATACGACAATCCCATGAAAACATCACGACAGTAAATCCAAATTGTACCTGTACATGTTTTCAGACAATAAGATTAGGCAAATGAGAAACATAAGAACAGATGTCACATTAAGTTGTCGGACCTCCATTCACAGGAGAAGAAGAAGGAAGCATCCAAAACTCGGGTGGTATGGGTATGCAACCAGACCAATCATACACTCCAAGAACCTATGGGAGAGTGGACGATAAATCGAAACCAAAGTTAGTTTCAACATTAGTTTTATAACATGTGAGATTACTTCACAAATCTTTTTCGGCCCATATATATACCGAAAGCCAAGCCTTTCCGAGCAGTGGCGTACATGTGGCACCGCCGTGGTCGAGAATCCACTTTCGGGCCCTTGTACATGCTTTTGTTTGACCACCATTAGATCCGACTCCAAGGATTCGTAGGCATATATAGTTGATAACCGTACAGAACATAACGCTATGGCCTTCTATATGCAACCCCCAACCACCATCTTCGTTCTAACGTCAGACCATATATACACATGTTACTAACCACAAAGTTTATAATCACTTTGAAAATGCAAATATCATTGCAGATACAGTACCTGATGATTGTACAAATAACGTAGGGTCTCTTTGCAATGTTCAGGAGTGAAGATCATATCCAGATGCCTAGTTACGTAAAGACATATAACCTGAAATCATCATCCATCAATACTTAAGATTTCATCATTTCATGAAAATCTATTAAGTATTATTTACTCACGAAAGGAGCCTCGAAAAATAAAGAGCCGGAGTTTTCAGCAGGCCAGTGCCCATCATCGGCCTGTAAGGCGGCGTAATAGTGAACTCCTCTTCTAAGCGCGGTCCTTGCCACTTCATATGTGATTTCCTCCGCATCCTCAATTTCCACTCGAGGGATCTTTTGCTCGAAGTTTCTCTCCCTCAGAAACTGTCCGAATATTACGTTGTAGTAAGAGTCGATACAAAATGTAAATAAATATATATATATATATATATATATATATATTATATTTATAAGCAAACTCTGCCTATTACATATACATTCACATGATGAATGGAAAATTCATCAAATCTTATGTAAATCTCGTCAATACATTAGTCTTTATTTTTTTCTAAACCCTAAATTTTGTAATTGCTACCGTTTCTCTCTCTTCGTGGGCTCTCAGAATTGGTCATTCTATATTATTCTCTTCAGCTGACACACGATAATTTGATCGTTTGCTTAACACTTGGATATTTTTTCCCAGCGTCACAGAGATTTTACACTGATCATTTATTTCTCTACCAATGCAGTAGTCGATCGTTACTAGAGTCTTCGCTTGCCACTTATTTCTTTGGCAGCGTGGTTATTGAAAAATAAAATGCAGAATAAAAAATCTAGGTATTTCTGTGGCACGGGAAGGGAATTTTTTTTGCTTGTTATTTTGGATTTGTTTTCACGACTCCCGCATTTTTGAAAAGTTAAGATATTTATATAAAAATTTTATAGTTTAGATATTTATATATTTGTAAAATTTTAGATATTTGTATGCGATTTTTTCTATTGCGCAATTTTGCATTGCAAATTTGGCAAAAAAAAAGTTTAGTTTTTGGTTTCTGGCGAGATAAATAATAATATACATTTGATTACAAAAATCAAGTTGGGTATTCTCGATCTACACCTCTTACGACCGGATATTCGAAAAGATTACATACATATAAACGACTTAGTAATCATGCAACATCAGGCGGGTTTTTGAAGAATCCGAAGATATGGAATCCTTATCTTTTGGTTAATATTATGTAGGCTGTTTAAACGTTGTTTGAATGCTCGATTATGAGAGTTTGTAAAATATTTATTTATTTATATGATTCACCTTTGATCCCAAAAAAAAATCATGTGGTTACTTACGTTCACGTTATGAACGAAAAAAAAAACCAGGAGATGATTATTACGCAAAAAAAAATGCATGGCATAGGCATGAAAATACATGAACCTGCATGCGCCAGAGAAGATCGGCGGAGGCTTTGACACGTGTCCTGTTGTCGTGGAAGTTCCGTCGAGCTCGGTCGGCCTCTTCTAACTCCTCGGCAGTGCCTGCGTCTCGATCGAACTCCCAAACCTGCCTGCCGACGTATCCATTTGTGCTGAACAAATACGGCCCCTCGTCTCTTCCTTTTCCGATCCTTAGCCTCCACATTCTCTTCCTCGGATTTTTTGTTGAAATGAATTTCCGTGTAGGGTTTAAATAAACATACAAATCATTTTATAAACAAACGTTCTCACCAAACTTTCTTTCAACTGCCAAATATTACTTCTGAAAACTTCAGACACACTCATATATACATATATATACACGTATGCATATATGTAATGTGGGTGGGCGTTAATGACGCTCCAAATCAACGACATGCAAATCCGTTTGATAAATGAAATAGTAGAATTGAATTATATAACCAACGTGGGTCGGCGAAACTCGGGATTTCAAGTTAAGGTTACGTGTGTGTATGTATACAGAAAGTTTGAGATAGAAGGTAATTCCACCTTGAGGTTGAGGTTGAGGTTGAGGTTGAGTGTTCGATTCTTGTCTGGTGGAGAGGGAGGTAATTTCTGGGTTTATATGATCTATATACAAAAGTTGTTCCCGGACCGAAGATTTATCTAATCAGCGTATCCGAAAAATAGCAGTTAGGGATCCTCCGTTATAAAAAAAAATCTATTACCAGAAAGCACATTAGTATAAAAACCAACTTTCAGAAATGATTTTTATGACTCCTCTTGTCTCGTGTTGAAGAAATATATATATATATATATATATATGCCCATATCGAAATCACAATGCGTAGGATATATACCAAAATAATTTTGTTATTATTGTGTAATGCAGTGGACTGTTTCAAACTTTATACAAAGAGATAAGTGTCGACATGCATCTTACCAAGAAAGAGTTTTGAGTAAATCTTGAGTCCTCGATGTGGGCGCACAAGATAAGGGAAACTTTGTCTCAAGCGCCTAAAGAACCCTCGATTTAAATAGTTGTAACAATGGGGATTTTAAAATTCATGGAATTTTATAATAATGGAGTCAGAAAGTGGGACCAAGTGACAACAAAACCAATAAATTATTAGAATCATTTGTGACACGTGGACCGTTTAAAGAATACGGCTCACACATTATCACATCAACCTATGCGCCCATTTTTGCCCCTTTTGGACGTTGTCTTTTAGAGATTTTTAGCCATTTTTAGGAATTTTATGTATTTTAGTTCTATAAAAATAAATTTTAATGTTTATTAAAATTGATTTTTTGTCATAATTATTTGGAAAAATCACTGAGAAAATATTAAATAATATACTTTGAATTCTCACAAAATAATTTGAAATTCTAGTCGATTTTCAGATTAAACATAAATTTCTCATGTGTCATATATACGCCAAGCTAACAAATATTTTACAAATAAAAAATAAATTTATAAAAACACAAATATATATATACACGCACATATATATACACATGGTAATTTATAGAATAATACGTACATTCATTAGAGAAAAATACAATGTAATTTATAGAGCATATACAATGAAAACCTTCAATTAATCACAACACGTCAATCTAAATTAATTAAAGTTTGATACACCCGCAAAACAGGGACGTTATTGAAAATAGACACATCTACTGCCTGTGTTACAGTCATAATTAATTATTGGTTGTTCAATGACAAATGTCTCATTTGTCAGTTTATTTAAGTTTCATTTTATTTTATTTTTATGGAAAAAAACCCTAAAAATTCCTGAACTTGTATTTTGGAGTAATATTAATTCCTAAACTTGTAGAGGTACCTATTAATTCCCAAACTTGTAAAATTGAACACGTTAAATCCTGAACTTGTTAAACGGTTCCATATTCGTCCATAGCATTATTTGGTCAAAAAACGAGTTGACCGATCCGACGTGGATCGTCACGTCATGCGCCACGTCGGAACGATCAACTCGTTTTTTTGACCAAATAACGTTATGGACGAATATGGAACCGTTTAACAAGTTCAGGATTTAATGTGTTCAATTTTGCAAGTTTGGGAATTAATAGGCACCTCTACAAGTTTAGGAATTAATATTACTTCAAATTATAAATTTAGGAATTTTTAGATTTTTTTATTGTTTTTTCTTGCCTTTGATTATCTTTATTATTTTAAAATTTCAAACTTTCTTTTTGTAATTTAATGTTTGGGCTAATCTGAGGAGCAGACAAATTATATTAATATATTATTTAAATTTCTGTAAGAAAATTTCGGAAAAAATGAAAGGGGGTAAATAACGTGGACCCACCAAACTTATATGCTTACTTGAGACATACATTTTTTAAAAATATTTTTCCACTAGAAACTAATAACATTGCCCAAAAAAAGTCTCAACATTCAAATGAATATTTTTTCCACTTGTATTTCTTTTTTCTCAGTTTGTGGATGAAAATAAAATTGTGAACTATTCTTTTAAATAAATATTCATTTATCGTAGAAATTATATGAGATTTAATATGATTTTCATTCTCGTTAGGAAGAGTAGAAAGAACAAAGAAAATTATTTGAGTACAATTTAGCATTGACCCGGAAATGAAAACCACTAATTTGTCAAAACAAAACAAGATAAATAATAATTAAATAAAAGCTTTGTATGAATAAAAACAAAGTAAATAAATAAATAAATAGGTTTTTGGATAAGAAGGAATCGTTGATTAAATGTTTTGTTAATTCAATTGGTTTAACTTAATTTAGGGTCATTAGAATAATCTACTTAAATAAATAAATTATAATGATGTGCTCGATGTGCATTTCTTCCACAACTTTATTTTATTTTTAGTTTTCACAGTTTGATTACATATTCATAACTATTAAAAAATATATTTATTTTAAAAATATTCTTTTTAATATAATTTTTTCTAAAACAATTCATAAACAATTTAGAAATTAAAAGATACTCATATTTTATTCACAAAAACCCTAAAAAAATTTGAAGTTGTATTTTGGAGTAATATTAATTCCTAAACTTGTAGAGGTGTCTATTAATTCCCAAACTTGAAAAATTGAACACGTTAAATCCTGAACTTGTTAAACGGTTTCATATTCGTCCATAGCGTTATTTGGTCAAAAAAACGAGTTGACCGATCTGACATGGCTCGCCACGTCACGCACCACGTCGGATCGGTCAACTCGTTTTTTTGACCAAATAACGCTATGGATGAATATGGAACCGTTTAACAAGTTCAGGATTTAACGTGTTCAGTTTTGCAAGTTTGGGAATTAATAGACACCTCTACAAGTTTAGGAATTAATATTACTCCAAAATACAAATTCAGAAATTTTTAGGGTTTTTTCTCTATTTTTAATGTGTATTTATTTGTCAGGCAATTGGTGCAGTGTGCCAAAACAGTATACTAGTATAGAACAATTATAAAGTATACCAAAAAAAATTTGAAAAAAATCTAAAAATTTCTCGACTTATAATTTGGAGTAATATTAATTCATAAACTTGTAGAGGTATTTATTAATTTCTAAACATATAAAATTGAACACGTTAAATCCTAAACTTGTTAAACGGTTCTATATCATCCATAGCGTTATTTGGTAAAAAAACAAATTGACCGATCCGACGTGACGCATGACATGGTGGTAATTTTCTGAGTTGGTTCGCCATATCACGCACCACGTCGGATCGGTTAATTCATTTTTTTTTACTAAATAACGCTATGGACGATTATGAAACCGTTTAACAAGTTTAGAATTTAACGTATTCAAATTTGTAAGTTTGAGAATTAATAGGTATCTCTACAAGTTTAGAAATTAATATTACTCTAAATTACAAATTCATAAATATTTAAGATTTTTTCTCAAAAAATTTCGGTGTATAAATAATATGTTTTATTTTAATTAATATAAAAAATATTCTTATATATCTTTCATATTTGCAAAATACATTTTTTTTTTCCGAGGAGACTTCAGAACGAAATATGTATACCCAAACAAATGGAAAATCTCAAAGATAAAAATAAACTTCGTAGGACGAAACATTTTCATTTTAAAAAGCTATCGATTGAAAATAGTTTTTCCGAACGATCCTGAAGAGTTTTTAGACAAAAACAGACGTTTTCATAAGAAACAGTTTCATCCAGAAATCCAGAAGAGTTTTTGGACACGAAACAGTTTCAATACTCATAAATAAAAACAGATTCTTACGAACGAAACAATTTTATCTTGCATAACTTGTTTCGTTCTTTAAATTATTTTCATCCTTCATATATTTTAGGACGATAAATTGTAATATATAGTTGAGGGTATTTTTTGTAAAATTTTATACAAAGTTATAGTTTACGAAATACAGGGGAAAAAAAATCTTTCAACCTCTCTCAAAAAATTGACATATTTACGTCAATTGCCTCAATTATAATAATCTATAATACATATTATATACATATAAGAATGAATTGTTTTGGGAGTGTCACACATGGATGACACTATTGTCCCTTAGCTGGTCCCCTGCAATCGCTATAAATGTCATCCATCAACCGACTACGCTTAGATTTTATGAATTAATTGAGACTTTATTTTTTTGGTCAAAATAAAATTCTTAAATCTTTACTGAAGATTTTTTTTGTAATAAAAAGAAAGTTCTCCACAAGTTTTTTATCCATTACAAGAAGACTTACAAAAATAATTTTATACCTTAATTTTTAACCATTAAAGAATCGAAATTAGTATTAAAATCCGAAAATCTAATTACACGGGTCCCAAAATTATATACTATATGTACCGTCCCATTGTTATTGTTGGTAAACTTTATAGTGTCATCACCACTGGTCCACTGATTTACTTTTGTTGGGGGAACCTCTAGTTTCGTGTGCTTTAGCCCTTCTTGTCTAATTGCATTGCATTCTCGTAGAACCTCTAGATTCATGTGTCGTAGTATTTGGTATTAGTGATAGCTAAACCGGTGAAACGGGACACAAAACGTTTGTTCTGTCCTGAATTCGAGTATCAAGTTTGACAGATAAATATAATTCCAATCACATGGCTTACTTTCGATTTTAGGATTAGCATGGGTCTCGGTCCAAAACATCCGGTTACAAAAAAAAAACGATTCTACGACGTTAGAAAAAAAAATAACAAAAGAAACAAAAAGAACCAGTAGATAATTTGCTAAAAAAACGTATTTTTACCAAAGGATCAGTCAGTCAACTAAACTAAACTAGAATGATATCATATGCTTTCAAGGGATTCAGGACAAGTAAGATGTAGCAAGGGAAAAAGACTCGGACCTCTGCTTCTTGTATTCGTTGTACCTCAGGAAGAAGTAACCCAAATAATCGAATTCGATGGGCGACATCCTTGCCTGCTCCATAACACATTTCAACGTTTAAGAGATCTCGAGACAATGACTTCGACACGATAAGCTTTTCTAGTCTAGAGAGTACCTGTATGATTGCCCATACTGCCCAGTACAAATGGGATGCTAGTTTGTACACATCTGCCTCGACGTAAAGAGAATCCAATTCCGCTTCCGATACCTGTAGATGAAAATCTTCAGATTCTAGAAATACGAAATGGTTCCCAACACGAAGTACGTTTGACAATTTCGGTTGCTAATGTTTAATTGGCTGTTACCTCGTGTGGTTTGTTTGGCCGTAGATAATGCCTGAGGAAATGGTATTGTTCTTCTTTACTCGGGTATCTGTGTACCAACCATGACCAAGTATCAGTATACCGCATATTCATTGAAGTGGAAAACTACTCGAAATGGGAAACTCGGATGAAGAAGCTGAACGTACAAACTGTAGTCACAGTCGTATCCCGCATATTCGTTGAAGTGGTTCCCGATGTCGAAGCCTCTATAGTTGTACGACCCATACTCAAAATCGATCAGATATAGTTTCTCTAATTGCGGGTAAAAAAACAAAGCCAGTTAGAGAACAAATGTCAGCAAAACATCTGATATAAAAGAAACAAGGTAAGCAGAATCAAATCAACAATCATGGTTTTTAATTGTCATTGTTCCCCATGGCTAACTCCATCACCATATATATATTACTCGTTCCAACAAAATACAAAATACAAAATAGGACACAATATGAAAGTCTGGGTTTCTAAAAGCTAAATTGTTCACATTATAGAATGCATGAGTTCGTAAGCACAATCTGATATAAAAGAGACAAGGTAAGCAGAATCAAAGCAACGATCATGGCTTTTTAAATGTCATTGTGCCTCATATTATAGAAGTAAGTGTTCATAGATGAGAAATGCATGCGTTCGAAAAATCTAACTCCATCACCATTTTCTTTTTCCTTGCATGCATTCAGATGGGCAGATACCCAGACGGGCAATACAACTAAAAACAGCATTGTGCAATTTCTTACCTTCTTCCTCGTTCAACATCAGGTTTCCAGAAAGTAGATCATTATGAGCAAACACCACAGGTGCATTAAGACGACCCGTGAAATCCTGTTCAATCATTGGAATATAATGCTTTTAGCAGATACCCGATTATGTCGTCGCACAGGATAATCCTACATTAATTCGTCATTGATTCCATGGCCTTTTGAGCAAATTGGAAAGTTTTGTCTGAAACAAAGAAGATTTTTGAATACTTCAACATTGAAAGACTGCTGTTCACTGCATTGCTCATGGTGTGGTCAATCGAATGGCTCATTTTTTCAAAAATATTCCAGGAAGAATTTCAAAAGCAATGGTTTCTAAAAGTAGAAACAAAAAATTTGTATCACCTTAAGAACACACAACAGGAAGCACATATATATTTAATGGATGAGGAGGATTACCCTTAGCTCAACAATTTCTTTACGCAATTCCTCAAACGAAATCGTCTCATAGAGCTTCTGCTTATCAGAGTCATCGAAGCTAAGAGTAGATGCTGCAGCAGACATGTGACAGAGTTAACAGGATAGAAAGAATAGAAGTTTGGCATTTAGGTAAGGATACTTGGTTATGACCAACAGAAGTAGTTAGAAAAAGAACAACAAAAAATTTCGAAAAGAAAAGCAAATGGCAAGAAACCTTTCTCAAAGAACTTGAAGATGTCAATCCACAGCTGAGGTTCCTTGGAACCTGGTATATCCACTTCATGAAACTTCCGTAGCTGTTTGGCAATTTCAGCAGCAATCATTGGTTTTCTGATGTCTGCCCACACCAGAAGAGGAAATGAGATCTATTGGAATGCATGAAACTTACTACTGGCTTCGCCATTATCATTTGCTTTAAAAGATAAAAACAAAAGGTTAGAGGGTCCTAATATTATAGATATTGTCCAACTGCTTTGTCGAACTAAAGATAACATATCACCAAATCTTGAAAAGAGTACGGCCTATACATTTTCCATCGTTTAGATGTATGGCAACCCAGATCAGCCGAGAGGAAATATTTCCTAAAAGAGATAATTATCCCTCACTCCAAAATTCTGCTTACCTGAAGGTTCTAGGGTACGGGCATTAATGAAAGATTGCACCATGCCATTTTCAAATCCACCAAGCAACTTGGCACCAAAGCCTGCAGCCGAGAGATACTTGATAGCCTAATGAAAATGGGGGAAAAAAAGTAAGATACAGAGAGAGAGAGGGGCAAATTCAAATGATGTAAAAGTAGAATTAGAAAGACCTACAGGGAAAACCTTAGTTATTTCAGGAAAATAAGAACAGAAACAAACAGTGCTGTTACTCTTTAAGGTAATGCTGTGTATTGATGCAAATTTTAAGCAGCTTAACACAAGAAGTCCTGCTTTAAGAAATGGTGGAAATAGAACCATACAAAATGATATGGCCCAACGATGCAAATACAAACAAGGTAGCGAAGCTATTATACAGTTGAATAAAGAGAAGATGTAATCACCTGCACCTCCCTCTCCCGATTAATAACGTACTCTGTGTTAGGTCCATACAATCTCACTGTTACAGATACTTCTTTCCCAGTTTCTTCCATCACAGAAACCTTTAACACTACCATCATTAAAAGACAAACTTAAAACAAGATCATAGCTATTTAATTCAAGGCTCCATTATATGTTTCTATTCAAATGATAAAAAAAAATGAGACATTTTAATACTCTGACTTTGTCAGGTCAAATTATACAGTTACCAAGAAGAGAAACTTAATGAAACAAAGTAACTCACGTAGATTTGTGATGCCACCAGAAACTCTCTCGACAGAGAAGAGAGAATCATCAAGTGCTTTCCACTTCTTGAATATATCTTTGCATAAGGCTCTATTAAATGTCACAAAGACAACGCAGAACAAATCAATCAGAACAGCAAGAGAATAAATCCTCCCCAGTTTGAAGCACAGAAATTCGCTCCCTTTCATGCCATGCAAATTAATTTGGGAGCAGGACAAACTATCCAAGGGTACTAAGCAAAGAGTATATCATGCTAAATATGTCAAAAACCATACACCACATAGTGTGGAATGGTTTTGAACTCCCTTATTTTTCTTAGAGCTTTTGCTCTTAGGAGGCTCTATTAAAAGAATGATGCATTGTATTGTTCATGATGTATCTCAAAAGACGTCAAAATGGAAACACCAGAGAACAAACATCTAGCTTCTGCAGATATGTAAAACTTTTCCCTCATTTCCACAATCTTCTTGGCAGCCATAAACAGTTCCACTTTTCCGAAAATCAGAACAAAACTGGTGCAGAGAAGAGCAAGAAACGGACATCTATGTAAAACTTTCGCTCTTATCCAAAAATTTCTCAGAAGCCAAACAACAAACATCATACAAACATAATCGTCCATTTACATAATCAAAGTTGGTACAATGAAGGGCAAGAAACCGAAAATCTTCGTCAAATTCCGAATATAAAATACGAGCTAGATTTTTCTACTCCCACGATCCGAAAGAAGAAGCAATCAAAACAAAGCTGGCGCAAAGAGCCAGAGAACGAATATCTCAGTAAAAGTTTTCCCCTTTTTTCCGCATTTTCCCCGAAGCTAGACATCAAAAACTATCCGAACATCAAAACAAAGGGAGAAATTTTCATTTCCACAGTCCGTAAGAACAAGCAATCAAATCAAAGCCGCTGCATAGTGGAGCATCTCAGTAAAATTTTCCGGTCTTTCCCGCAATTTCTCGGAAGCCGAACATCAAACAACAATACGAACATAAAAAAAAATAGCTAGATTCTTCCACCGCCACAATCCGAAAGCACAAGCAATCAAATCAAAGCAGGTGATAACCAAAGAAGAAGAGATACGAACATGATATGAGGAGTCATGACGGAGAGAGATAAAGAAGTGTCGACGGCGCGCGAAGAAGACGGAAAATCGGGGCCGTGATCGCCATTAGCTCCGTCTCCGGCAACCATTTTCGCCCAAAGATTCTTCACAGCTCCCATTTCTTTTTTTTTGTTATTCAGATTCTTTTTTTTCTTTCGTGAAATCAGTTTTCTGTTTTCAGATCTTTTTCTCCTATTTGTACGCGCATCTTATATCGTGTGTCTCGTCGTCTATTTCTTTTTTCCTTTTTTTTTAAACAAATCTTCGTCTAATCAAATTGCGTTTCATCGTCACATCACAGCCGTCTATATTACACATTATAATTTATTATTAGTTCTTTTTAGAATGAAGAATATGTATAAATATAAAATATAAAATAAGCTGTTAAAAAATATTTTTTTTAAAAATATATAATTGTTTTTGAAATTATCGAATAAAATTTTCAAAATTTTGTGATTAGTAGCAGAATCCGAGCGACGAACAAAATGCGACGTAATCAATTGACAAAATTAGTATCAATGCTATATCCCTTACTAGAAAAAAAATATCAAAGCTATATCACGTCACGTCAAAATCACATGAGAAACAAATGTCTGAATCGTCCAAACCATAAAGGAATGATTTTTTTTAGAGTCCTTTTATACATGTTATTGGTGCTGCACATTACATTGGCTTGGTCCAAAATTGTTAGAAAGAATATATACAATATAAGAAAATTGAGAGAAAATTAAATAGATAAGTGTAAAAATGTTGAGAAAATTAAATTTTTGATGGAAACCCCTACAGAAGTTTCTGCATTGAAAGGGTATCAGAAGAATAGGTGGTCGTATGATTATTTCTCTTTATTATATAGGACACAAGTCGAATTCTGGACAATATTCCATCGACGTAGTCTATCCGTGTTGGCACCGCTTGCTTAAACCATACCATCTTAGCCCATTCCACTTCCGGTGATTCTTTACGGAACAATTTCCATGTGCTTGACGCCAAGAACTTCTTAATGTACTCGTTATCTGCCAACTTCCACTCATATGTGTCTTCTCCCAAAACTTGGTTCAATGGTGGTAATGATAGAAGCCGAATGTGAAGGTCATGGATTCTTTGAGATCATGCACCCGGTAGCGACCAACTCTGCCCCAAGACAACATCACTAACCTTTCCATTAAGAGGAATTTGTAGCACTCTAGAGCCGTCAATGCCAATATAATCAATATATCAAAGGCCTTAAATTTGTCCAGATATCCAACAAGAAATACGGCGTTTTCCCATTCTCAATTCTGCACCTGATAAACTTTTCTGCTAGGTCTTTCATCCATAAGAGTTTCCTTACATTCCACGATTGTCTAGTTGTAGGCACCATATCCTAAAATGGTCATCTCTTCAACACATTCCTCCTTAGCCACGCAATTCAAAGTGAATTTGCATCCTTAAAAATCCTCCAAATCATCTTCGGCCTGGAAACTTTGTTCAACTCTTCAAGTTTCTTGATGTTCAACCCTCCTTCCCTCCAAGGTCTACAGATATTGGCTCCATGCGACTCTCGCTCTACCCGTACTCGGTTGAGAGTTTTTCCAATGGAATTTGGAACATATTCCATCGAACTGGCTTATTACCATAACCATTTTATATGTGAATCGTACAAATTAAGCAACAAATAATTAGTTTTCAAAGTTAGTCTTGTAATCGAAGTCTATTTTGCTACAATATAGGATATTAGAGTTAGATAATGATTGTGGTGAGGAATTATATATTGGACTAATATTGGGTAATGACGATGATATTAAAACTATAGTTTGTGAAAATGATGATGATGATCACGGTGATCATCATGGAGAATCAAGGATTATTGAAATATAGGGATGGATGTTTTGCGAAACGGTTCGGGTTCGGGACATGAATGAATCGGTTCGGTTTTTTCGGTTTTGCAAAAATAGGTACAAATCAGTTTTTATATTATGTTCGGTTCGGTATCGGTATCGGTTCAGTTCGGTTCGAGATTTTATCAAAAAAAAGAAGATAGATTTCCTTTAAAAATATTCGGTTTTTCGGGATTTTTTAAAGTTCGATTCGGTTCGGTTTCGGAAAAATTCGGTTTTCTAAAAATAATATCGTTCGGGAATTGAGAACGGTTTCAGATCGGGAAAAGTACCGTTTTTTTCGGTTCGGTTCGGTTCGGTCCGATTCCGAAGAATCGAACCGAAACGCCCACCTCTGCGGAAATAGATGATTGATTATATGCACAATGTCATGGTAGAAAGGAGCCTTTTCATGGGACAAAGCTCCACTGCGTAGGTTAATTTGATTTTCTTTTTTCGTGTACTTAAAATTTACGCCAAAGTCCACCACATTGACTGGAAAAATGTTACCTTTATGAATACTATTTTATATGAACACGTCAAACTTGGAAATGAAATGCTTGTCCAAGTCAAGGGTCAAACCGTAAGAGTGAAAATAGACCCAACGCGTTTTGCGCCTTCCGTCACCGATTTAACGTCGACAAAATCACAACCAACGGGAGAGGTACAGAAACATAACAATGGCTTCCCTTCCTCTGTCCTCTTCAGCCTGTCTCCGTCTCTTCTCCGTTTTGGTTCTCGTCTCGCTACAGTTCCTCGCCGTCAGATCTCAGCAGTATCATTTCTGCTCGAACGACAGAGGAAACTACACCGTAAACTCCACCTTCGCCACAAATCTGAATAGTCTCGTCTCGTCTTTGTCCTCTCTCCAGCGGAACCCAGACGGGTTTTACAACGTTTCTGTCGGAGAAACCACGAACATGGTGAACTCTGTTTCTCTCTGCAGAGGAGAGGTCGCCCCAGTCGATTGCCTCGCCTGCGTCTCGGCCGCCGGCGAAGAGATTACGAGGCGTTGCCCTAATCAGAAAGAGGCGATTATATGGTACGATTCCTGTATGGTGCGCTACACGAACCGAACGATCTTGAACGTGATGGAGATGAGACCTGCATTCTACATGGCGAATGGAAATAACTTCACAGGAGACTTGGAGGGGATTGAGATGGCTCTAAGGGGTTTGCTGGAAGGTCTGAGGGACAGAGCTGGAGAAGGAGGGGTGAGGAAGAAGTTTGCAGCCGACAGGTTCAACGCGCCGTCTTTGCCGACGTTGTACGGTATGGTCCAGTGTTCGCCTGACTTGTCGGAGCAAGACTGCTCCAGTTGTCTTACCCGGAGTTTCGGGGATATTCCGGCTTGTTGTGACCGGAGGATCGGTTGCCGGCTGCATACTCCGACCTGTTTTTTCAGGTACGAGACCTATCGGTTCTACGACGCGACAGCTGCTGAGGAGACGGTTCCTCCACCGCCGCCGCCGCCGCCGGCCAATGAAACGAGCACAGACGGAGAAGGTATTATTACTTTCTGGTTTCAGATTCATTTGATAACTCAGATATGAATTCAGATTTCTTCTTCGTCTTCTTCAGGGAAGAAAAATGGCTATGGAGAAAAAGTAGTGATCTTTGTATTTGTTCCTGTTGCCATCATCGCTGCCCTTCTGATCACATCGTTTATTGTTTTCTTGACGCCGAGGAAGAAGAATCCGACGACAAGAAAACACGAAAGTGAGTTTTGTCGAAAGCTCGAATGCTATGGAAAGAAAGCATTGTTTGTTCGAAATCATCAGCTTGTGATAACCACTAAAACCTGTTCTTTTCTGGTTGTGAACAGCAAGCGAGGTTACCGAAGAAATCATCAGTGCAGATTCGTTGTTGTTCGATTTCAGAACGATACGGGAGGCGACGGATAATTTCTCGCCCGAAAAGAAACTTGGACAAGGAGGTTTCGGTACAGTTTATAAGGTAATCTTACAAAACCAGGGTGGCTAATTCATCGTCTGATTCGTTCTAAGATTTGTTTCTACGAATACTCGTAGGGTATGTTACGTGATGGACAAGAAATAGCGGTGAAAAGGTTGTCGAGAGACACGGGACAAGGGGAAACAGAGTTCAAGAACGAGGTCTTGCTGGTTGCGAAGCTTCAGCATCGGAATCTGGTCAGGCTTTTGGGCTTTTCCACCAAAGGAAACGAAAGGCTTCTCGTTTATGAGTTTGTCAAAAACGCGAGTCTCGACAATTTCCTTTTCGGTACGAGATTCTTCCTTTGTCAGAATCTTGGAACTTGCGGCTTCCTTGGCACAAAGTATGAAACCTTCGACCATTTCTTACAGATGCTGTCAAGAAAAGGTATCTAGATTGGGGAAAACGCTACGAGATCATAGGAGGAATTGCACGAGGGCTCCTTTATCTTCATGAAGATTCCCGTCTTCGGATAATTCATCGTGATCTTAAAGCTAGTAACGTCTTACTTGACGAGGAAATGAACGCAAAGATTGCAGATTTTGGTGTGGCTAGGTTGTTCGATATTGACCAAACAACACAACGCTTCACAAGCAAGATCGTCGGAACATTGTAAGCACCAGATCCATTCCACATATATAAACGTATATATACACACGTAACCGTCGGATTGAAACCCTGAGATTCATGATTCACAGAGGATACATGCCTCCAGAGTACGCAATGCATGGACAGTTTTCGTTTAAGACAGATGTTTACAGTTTCGGGGTGTTGGTGCTCGAGATCGTTAGTGGCAAGAGAAACAACTGGTCCAGAGATGGCGAAGATGCGGAAGATCTCGTTTCCCTCGTAAGTGTGTGTATGTGTATATATATATATTTCAAAGAGTTCATCGACATTGTGAAAGTGATGTAAAGTGGTACAATGTGCAGGCATGGAGAAACTGGAGAGAAGGGACACTGTTGAATCTGATCGATCCGAGTTTGAGATATGGTTCGAGGAATGAAATGTTGAGATGCATAAGCATCGGTCTTTTATGCGTGCAAGAGAAGGTAGCAAACAGACCGAGCATGGCTTTGGTTGTTATGATGCTAAGTAGCCATAGTCTTGCCCTCCCTGTTCCCACTCCGCCCGCCTTTTCCATGCGTCATGTCTCGAGATTCGACCTGCCCTCTTCAGACAACCTTAACTCAAGGGCCACAGATTCGAGAGAACGCTAGAAAACCGCTGTCTTATAGGATCGTCGTCGGGACATCACTGACTCCATTACAGAGTTATATCCGAGGTAGTTCTGAAAGGGTTTTTTTTTTTGTACAGACATCTTCAGATCTTTGTATTCTTGTCGCGAAGATGATTCGACAGTTTCAAATATCTTGGAAAGTTAGAATACGAGAATCATCGGTTAGTCAAAGATCTTCGATCCATTTTATTGTAGCTGTTTTCATGGATGTAACTTCTCTTCTCCAAGGAAGACAAACACAGAGAAGAAGAAACATGAATAGCTTGTTCTTTTCCTCAATGTACATGTTCCAAACCAGAAGAAGCCCTGCATATGCTTTTTGTTCATCAAACTCCAAAAAAAAAAAAAATACAAAGCTCAGTTCACTTAGGTTCTAAGAAGCAGATTTCCAAAACGAGAACAGCAAATGAGAAAGAGTTCAGCTAATGGTGAGATTTACCAGAAGCCTTCTCCATCATCATCATCATCATCATTTACTTCTTCTTCTTCTACACTTTGCTTCTCAACCTCGAAGATGATGAATGGGAAGCAGACTCGGAACATATACAGTGGCGGGGATACAAGGAGTCGCGAGCCACTCACCTATCTCAATGTCTTTGATCCCATCCTCTCCCCTAATAAAGTCTCTTCTTTTTTGTCCCCCCGACAATAAACGAGCTGATCATTCTCGACGAAGAAGCATGGATTGAATTCATTATAAAGACATAACAAAGGGATATTTTCTGATTCGACGGTCATGAACATGATGCACACCTCCTTTTCAGCCGATCCAATCTGGCTAGAGACCCATAGCTTGATGTTTCCACTTCTCGGACATTGTTCTAACACACACAACCTATCTCCTCTGTAAGCCGCAAAGGTCACATCCCACCAATATCCAGAGGTAATAAAAGATGAATAAACATTGAATGGATGAACATTACATCGGGAGATGAATGAACATTTAGGAATCATGGCAGTGGGTTTAATACTCTTAGGAATTTCAATTTATTAAGAATCGAGAGAACGGTAGATTGAATTCTTAGGAAGTGATGTGAGGTTCGAGAGAGTAGTCTTCGATAGAAAGAATTTGAATTTCTTAAATCAAAACCTTAGTTAGGAGATACATCCGTAGGAACGATCCTTACACAATCCGAAAATCTCGACACCTATAATGTTTTGTTGAATTGTATTAAATGTTTGCTTGTATTCGTTTTGATTCTATTTACGTTTAGTTACCACCATCATCCAAATTATCGCTTTCGATCGAAAACGAATAGAAATCGAGGTTATCATCGCTAATCCACAAGTGTTTTTGTGTTCGACTCTAGAATACTACGATTTGATCTGTACATTTGCGATAATTATTTATAGGAAATAATGTCTAGATCGACATCAAAGTTATCTTCTGTTTGTTTCGACTTGACCCATTCACAATTTTCATAAAATAACACCCATTGTTATTCTTGGAACCGAACCGAATAAAATCAAACCAAAATTTGTGATTGGTTTCTTTAAAACCGGTTCAGTCCGGTTCTCTCCGTTTTCGCTTAATACCGTACCGACGTATAGATGGAACGTCGAACTGAGGTTCCCTCAAAACCTTCCCATTGCCACCGCGAGACCTTCATTCCCGACTTCACGAAGGAATCATCGTCTCGCTCCAGGTACTCTCTCTCTCTGTCTCTCTCTGATGAATATGCTTCCGTTAGTCAGAGAATCTGTCCTGTCTCGTCGGATTTCTCTATTTTCATCATCGTTTCGAGTTTGTTACGCTGTTCGAAGCGATTGCCAGTTATCTATCTGTGCGCGTTCATACTTGTGACTTACGCATTTCAGATCGAATCGTTGTCGTTGTTGTTTGATTTTATTGCACAGAATTCAGAATCTCCCGTTGAGTCTGGATTTTTTTTTTCGGAATCCGAATTGGGAAGTAGATTTGATTGGATTGGAATGATTAGCTAAGATTGTACATTGGGTATACTTGCATGTTTTGCAACTTGTATTCCTCGTCATCCTTTGTTTTCCCTTTCATCTTGCAGACGTCGCGATGCTTCGGCATCTCATCCTCCGGTCGTCGGCAGCCGCAGAATCGAATGTAAATTATCTTATCCGATTTGATCAACAGGTAACTTTTTTTTTCGCTGGATTTTCTCTGTGAATCACCCTTGTGTGGTTCGTAATTTACATGTTGGGTATTTTGTGATTCGTCAGAGAGGACTACACAGCAGGAACAAGAAAGCTATGGAGTTCATAGCCAAAGGATGGAGCGCGCTGAAGGAAGTTGATAGAGTCATTGATTATTGTGAACTCAAGGATAGCCGTCTCATCCCTCTTCTTAGGGTACTATAAGCTCATCTATGTATGTCTGCACACAGACATATTAAGTGTATTACTTGTGTTACATGTTTTCACAATTATCTGCTGCTTACACTCATCTTCGCAAGGTTAACAATTCATTGTGGCTCAAACGATTAGTTTGAGTTATGAAGCTGGGTTCTGGTGTGTTCTAGATTAGATGGCTCATCCTTTTTGTCTGAGTTAATTGTACAAGTAGGTGCTCAATGGGTTATAGATTTGTAATATTGACTTAAGTTAGCCATGGTGACATCTGAAATGGCTATAGCCAAATGTAGAAGTGTAGATATCGTCTCTGGGTCACATCTCGTAAATTTGACTTGTTGAATGCTTGGAGAAAATAAATATGCCTTTTGAGTCACTTTGGTTGTGGTTTTGTTATGTTTCTGACTATGATTTTTTTGGTCAGGCAGCTAAAGAGAACTTTGAATTGGCTCTGGAGGCTGATAATTCGAACACGCATGCTAGATATTGGCTCTCCAAGTTGCATCTGAAGTACCATGTTCCTGGGGCATGTAAAGCCGTGTGAGTAAAGAATATTTAACCAATTCTTCTTCACTTCGTTCCGGCAGGGTCTAAAACCTGCTGGGTCAATTAGTGGATTCCTTTAAGATAATGTTTATTTCGATATTTTTGACAATTTTGATACTCCAATTGAAGTAATATTTTGAAAATTGTGGAGTTCGCACTATAATGGATGACATTAATGTTGGTTTTGTCCCGTTGTTAAGTATTTCACTTAAATTTAGAAGACATTATGATTCATGTCTCATCTTGGAATTGTTTATTGTAGTTGGGGAAGTTGCTTACTGGTGCTTTGTTGAACAACTTTGTGGTGCAAGGCATTCTTTTTCATCTTTACCCATCTTCTATTCTCTTTTACTGTGACAGTGGGGCTGCTTTGCTTGTAGAGGCTGCTGACATGGGTGATGCAGATGCTCAGTATGAACTAGGTTGTCGTTTAAGAGTTGAGGTTTGGCTTCCTTCCTCTTCTTTGTGGTTAATACCCATTTGAGATATGTTGATTGATTGAAGCTGAATTTCCTTCCTGATTGATACCTATCGTATATGATGCCATTGTGGTTATGGTCATGTTTCCGTCAAAGTGTTCTCCAAATTATCTCAAAATTACTCGGAAACTTATATTAAAATCTCTATAAAAATATTATGTAGTTTTAATGGCCTTCAATCTAGGCATTTTGCAAGCTTCATGTTTGTGTCAATGTCTTTTATTTGTTGCTTTAGTGGGTACCTTGGTTAAGGAAAGTTAATGTTTCTGGAGCAGTCTTTTGTTGTCTTTGATGGGGGAATGGTTCTTTGTTATTATCCATTCTCTAACTCCTCTTTTCCCTTGCCATAAAATTCATACCAATTAGAACATTTGTTTTTTTTCCCAATTTTATGTTGGAACAGAATGATTACGTTCAGTCAGATCAACAGGCGTTCTACTATATAGAGAAGGCTGTTGACCAGGTATGAATCTATTTTCCAGTCCATATATATAATCATAAAAACTTGGTTCTTGAGAATTTTCTGAAAAACTGACCTGATGTTTGTAACTTGTAGCTGCATCCAGGTGCTCTCTACCTTCTAGGAATTGTGTACTTGACTGGAGAATGTGTGAAGCAAGATCTTGCTTCAGCTATGTGGTGTTTCCATAGGGCTTCCGAGAAGGTAACAGACATTACTTATTAAATTTTTTTTCCAGAACTCACGTAACGTAACCTAAAGGCATTTCGAATAGTTGTTTGGCATAGATGAAACAAATGTGATATGGTGACAAATTCGTTTTTTTAAATCCCGAAAGGCAAATATGGCCCTCAAAAAAAAAAAAGTCCTCGAAAGGAAATGTGTACGATACGAGTATTAAGCCCTACAGTGATCGTTTTGTTTTGCCTTTCGACTATCTTGTGATGAAAATATGTATGCTTCGGAATGATAATTAGCACATCCATATAACTTTCAGGGACATGCTGGTGCTGCTATAGCATATGGATCCCTCCTACTTAGAGGTCAGTTGTTTACACCACAAAAATCATGCAACTTTTCATTTATCGAATGCATGAGATTCTTCAATTTTCGTTAGATTAGGCACTGATGGTGGTTAAAGATGAACAGGTAAATGCTGTTCGGATCAATATAATCCCCCGGCCCACCCTGAATATTAGATTTTGCACGTTTCTTGCTTACGAGTATAGTTGCTCGCAAAGACTGATGAGATGTTTGCCTCTACAGGCGTTCAAGTTCCAGAATCTCTAACAAAATTAGATTCAATGAGAGTTCCACCGCCCAAACGAGCAAAGAAGAATCCAGAAATCCCTGAGGTGGACCCACTGGAGGCAGCAAAGGAAAAATTCCGAATTGCGGCAAGAGAAGGGTGTGACTTGGGGCTAAAATGGCTGGAGAGGCTAGAGGAGGAAGAGAAGCATCTCTCAATTGAAGAAGGTAGCTCCAATGAACGGTAAATACTAATACCATTCCCCAGAGATAAGAATCATCCATGTCCTTATAATGCAGGTCCTGTTTCATATATATATATATAATCGTACGGACATTTCTTGGAGTGAGAATCATTAGGTTCCGTTTCTTTGTTTCTTGGTTCACACTTGAACCCTTCTCAGAAAATCAAGGTCGGTCCGGACAAACCCTAGGGGCCCTCGGTCACTTGTTACCATAACCTCGACTCGAATAAAAATCCAATAACCAATAAAACCGAAAGATCCAAACCTACCAACCCCTCGGCCTAGGTTGGTCTTCGACCCATTTCGGCTACCTCAGCCTCCTCAACTGATGTACGTGAAATCGTAGGGGAGGTCTCTATCTTGGTTTAAGCCTGTGACTAGGAATGTAACGCACATGGAAATACCAAAACTTAGGGTATGTTCCAATGTATGGATCAAACCCTATGTTCTTGGAACTATATATTCGGGCGATTTAATTCATCAAAAACCTGCTCTTGTGTCTGACATTTCCTCAAGCATCGAATTTCCAGTTAAATCCACTCTCGATGCAAAATCCCATTGGTTCTCGATGAGCATCTTCAAAGAAAACATCAGGATTAACTAGATTCTCAAATATACGCAGATTCTAATAGGTTTAGATTAATGATTCATGTTTTTTACAACAGTAGGATATTTATACAAGTGATTAACCCTAATTACAATATGTATAAATACACATATATCCTTCTATATGTCTCGGGTCATGAAACGGAAAACGCGGTAGTGGTTTGGTGAGAGCATCAATGAGTTGATCGGTGGACCGTGAGAAAGAGTAACCTCTTCAACGTTACCGAACAAAACCCCGTTGAAAACCCTTCTTCGAGATTCCAAGGGCCTTTTTTGGCAGGTTTCTTCGCAAGGATTCAACCATTGAATGGGTAATGGAAGCTCTGAAGCTTTCATCCAACAGCTTGTGGGCATTTCCTTTAAGATGAAATAAATTTTCGACAAAATACTCATCTTTTAAGATTAGATTTACGCCCATGAGAGTGTTTAAGCTCAACCTTGGAACGACAATGGAAGTATTGAACCGAGGAAATAAAAAAAGAGCGAGCAAACGACATCGTTTAAAAGCCAAGACACGGCGTCGTTTTGGTATACTTAAAATGACGTAAGAAGTTAAGAACGGCGCAAAGCGGCACACGTCTCGTAAATATAAAGATAAAAGTAATAAATGAGTTAAAATTCTAAGGGCCATTAGCGATATTTTATTTTCTACGTTGTCCTTTAGGTCTTTTGGAAATCCCAAATCCCACCCAGATGAATTCCGATCAGAGTGAGAAACCCTAATTTTTCCGAGATTTTTCGATCTCCCGGTAATCGAATCGGGGTTTCGTGTTCGGATTCGGAAAACTCTCAATTGATTGTTTTCCAGGGGGGATTTTCCTTCGTCTTTGTCGTTTGATTTCGTTGCCAAACATGGATGGAAACAAAGACGACGCGTTGAAGTGCCTGAAAATTGGCAAGGATGCGATGGAGGCCGGAGATCGAGCTCGAGCTTTGAAATTCTTAACGAAAGCTTGTCGCCTTGATCCGAGTCTCCCGATCGATAATCTCGTGTCGGAGCTGGAGAAGCAATCTGACGATCCAACGGCTGAGGGTTCGCCTGGATCCGCAGCCAAGGAGTCGCCAAAGGCGTCGGGTCGGCCTTCTCTGCGACAACGTGGACCATCGGCTTCGGCGGCTGCAGGGTCATCATCATCGGGATCGGCTTCGTACACCGAAGAACAGATCGCGATCGTGAGACAGATAAAGTCGAAGAAGGATTATTACGAGATTCTAGGGTTAGAAAAGAGCTGTTCAGTGGAAGATTTGAGGAAGGCATATCGGAAACTCTCCTTAAAAGTTCATCCCGACAAGAACAAAGCCCCTGGTTCAGAAGAAGCGTTCAAATTCGTGTCAAAGGCGTTTCAGTGCCTAAGCAATGAGGAGACTCGGAGAAAGTACGATATCAGTGGTTCGGATGAACCCGTTTACCAACCTCGGCGAGCCGCGAGGAGAAACGGGTTCAATGGCTATTATGACGATGAATTCGACGCCGACGAGATTTTCCGGAGCTTCTTTTTCGGTGGAATGCCTCCTGCGACTGCCCAATTCCGCACATTCAATTTCGGCGGCGGAATGGGCGGTCAACGAACCGCCAATCAAGCATCTGATGCAGGGTTCAACGTCCGTGTTCTTCTTCAGCTTCTCCCCGTTCTGCTTATACTGTTGCTCAATTTCCTGCCTTCTTCACAGCCAGTTTATTCCCTGTCTGCATCGTATCCTTATGAGTACAAATTCACTACGAATAGGGGTGTCAATTACTTTGTGAGATCATCCAAGTTCGAGCAGGAGTACCCACTTAACAGCCTTGAGCGACAGAGGACAGAAGCGCAAGTCGAGAGAGATTATTACTCCGTAGTGTCTCAAAATTGTCGGTACGAGCTGCAGAGGCAACAATGGGGTTTTATCCGCGAAACCCCACACTGTGACATGCTGCGGAAGTTTGAGTCTGCTGCTTAGCACTTAAACCAAGGTCCAATCCACATTCATTACTTCATCTTGAACGTACATTAACTTCTTTTGCAGAGTTCCGGCTATATTAAAGTCTCTCTTCTAATCATAGTTTAAGTGGTTAGTTGTGTCACGGCTAGTAAGCTCGGTTGCTGATGTTTTTGTCAAAATCTATGTCAACTAATGTGTTGTCATGACATCTGTGTGTTATTTCTATAGGATTATAGAATCGTGTTGGTGTTGTTCTTATATGACGTGATTTCTTGAGAGAGTATGTAAAAAAACATTATGTTTGTATTTGTAGTGAGTATCATATATCTCATATCGCAAGTTCGTCCCTATATCACGAAAATATTATATGGTGTGTTGGATATCTCATCTTTTTAACAGTCTTGTGTTGTTCTTATAACAGTTGTTTCGGAGTATGCTTCCTCGCATACTAAACTCGGAGGAACATGGTTGAATCGATGACGAGACACAGACATGGAGGATAACGGATGTTTAGGAGTCTTTCGGTAATATGGTTCCTGCTTTTTGCTGACGCCCTTTGTTAAAAATTTGAAGATCCGAAAATGCTATATAATATACAGCCCATGTGAAGTCTTCTTGATATTTGTTATTGTTTTCCTATGTTTATTAATGTTTAGTATACAAAATAACACAGCCGGATGGTGTTTTGTGTGATGCATCTCTACTTCTCGGACTTGAGAATTTGATTGGGTGTAAAGATATATCGTATGATGGAAATTTACAGATTCCAAGCAAATCCCTTTGGAAAGTAGTCATCTTTGGATGCTATCACCAGCAACCCTGAATGCATTGTCACAACTGTTCCGAGGCAAGGCAAGAAGATAAGGTGAATGCGGGTTCGGTCACGTACGAATTCTAGCATCGCTTCCTTGGCTCGTCCCTTGGCCTTTTGCCCGTTAGCTTTTGTATCTTCCGTGTACCGAGCATTTGGATACCACAAGGTATACGAAGCTTGGGTACTCGGCTCACGCAATGCGCCGAGGTTATGTATTTCGGTCGAAAGATGCGAATGTGCATGCCGAAATTGAGTACAGTGGAAAACCCGAATATGCGATCGGTGCCCAAGCTTAATGGTGTTCCGTTCCTTAATTCAATGAGGCCGAATTTAGAACATGTCAGGACATCATATGTTGCGATCGCTCGACATAGGGATAGCCTAGGGGTGGGCGTTTCGATATTCGATTCGGGTTCGGTTCGTAAATTATTCGGTCTGTTTCTTTCGGTTCTATACAAATATGTACTATTCGGTTATTATTTCATATTCGGTGCGATGTGGATTCGGTTTCGGTTTTTGTTAATAATTTTTCGATTTTTCGAATTCGATTCAGTTCGGTTTTGCAAAAATCTGTTTTCTAAAAAAATTACTGTTCGAGAATTTGGGACGATTGAGTTCTTGATCAACACCGCATCTGGGTGTTTGGCAGTTGGAGGGGTTTTGCGAACCTGACCTTTGGAATCAGGTTAAGATTTTGGTCGGTAATTAATCGTATTCGTGGCGCGAGTAATCGAATCGAGCGGCGAAAAGACGAGCGCGAGGCGAGGGCGGGTGAATATCCGGCGCATGCACCAGGGGGCGAGAGGGCCACTTGGTTAACCTAAAGCTGATGAAGGTTGAAGTCCGTGCGGAAGTTAAGTTTAGGAAAATAATAATGCTGTTCTCTTAGTAAAATTGCATGGGACTGACGTATGCTTACATATGTACATACATATATACATACTATATGTGTGGACGGAACTTATGTTTGATCAAATGGGTGCATATTTTTGTAATTTTTTTCAATTAATTTATTCAAAGGTTTCAGTATCTTAGTACCCTCCATTGATGATAAGCAAATGCCTCAATAAGTTTTTTTTTATTTGTTCATGATTTTGTGTGAGTATTTTTTTTATTTTTTGTATAATCGGGTATCTTGGGTCGAGGTCCAGACTAATTTTGTGAGCGAGAACAAACTATGTGATTAGAATATACATTCTCCTTTTTAATTTAAAATTCGAATTCGAGACGAGATAAACGTTTTGCGTAACCGTTCCAATTCCAGGGTGGAGGTGGAATTACCCAAATTGGCTTGTGAGTACTTGTTTTGGGCAGCTGTGAGTTAATATATGCCAATATAAGTTATGTTAAATCCAAGAATCGAGAAAATGACATGTCACAATAAAAAAAAAGGAGCATAAATAGATTATAAAGTTGAGCCGACCAAATCCCAAATCCCATTAGAAATAAAAATAAGCAGAACTTTATTTATTTTTTTCATCATTTTCCTTTCAACTTCATAATAATTAGTCAAATTTCCCAAACAAAAAAAATAAATAATAATTAGTCAAACAAAAAGTTAGACGATATTTCCAATATTTCCGGGACCATTATAATTCTATGGCCACCTCTCTACTAAAAGACCTATGCTCTCACATTCACTGGAAAAAAGTAGGGATTCAAAGCTAAAGAACAAAATGTATGGCTTTGGTTCAAACCCTATTTTCAGCCCATATTTGCCACGAGTATTTTGAAAATTTATTCTACATAATATGTATATATATACACAAGTAGGGTCATAGGCCCCCATTTATGCAATTAGAAAATTATAATTTCTTTATTAGTTTTATAAAATTTTAAATAAAATTTTATAATGGCCTCACACAGTAAATACCTCGTAAAAAATTACTTGCCTCCACTTACAACCTTTCCTAGGTCCGCCACTATATATATATATATATATATGAAGTGTGTATTTTCAAAATTATTCGGATTGTGAACTTGTATGATCTGAATATTAAAATTTCATAAGAAAAACGAGTAGAGAAACAGTTAAAAACTCAAATTCTATTATATGAACGAGGTGGATTTAAGTTCAGATTTCTTGTTGAAATAAGCTGTACTTTAAAAGAATTCATATTATTATGTCAAACAAAATTTAAAATATATTTTAAGGATTCGTTTATATTTTTTTTGTTAAAGGACACTCTATTCCACATTGTATCATCTCTTACATTCTTCAAATTATATGCATATATCCTTAAAATTCGGAGTCGGACTTCATAATTCACGATTAGATATCTGCGAATACTCAGTACTATTACGCAAATACCCTTTATATTAATTTTAAAATTACAAAATTATTCTTTTTTTTTTTTTTACAAGATTGGGATTCGTATAGGGATGATACACGGATATGTTTTGGATACCTGAAATTCGATATCCGAAACTCATAGATACGAAATCATATTCTAAAATTTAATGACCAAAAATGTCGATGTTCAGTTCTTCAATTATGTCAACCCCACACCATATACTTAAAAATTATTGCACGAATCACAAATATGTACCCATAAAATGTTACCGGATATAATAATCATAGAATGTTGACGTAAATGTAACGAATTTTTAAAGTAAACGTTTCATTATTTTGAAACCTAATTTAGAAAATTTTAATTAATTAATTAATCCTAATCACTCCTCTAATAATTGAATAGAAATTGGTCAAGGAATTTGACTTGGGAACCTGCCATGTGTTACCACCACTTTGCTTTTTCCACTTAGATTTGATCAATCAATTGGAACAAAACATCGTGGACAAATATATGCAGATTATTTTTACTTATCAATACATTAAGGTAATGGAAGGATATTACATAATATCTCCAGCGATATTATTCTCAAATTACATCCCTAATTTTATATTTTATTGTTGCCTAGAATATTGGCTATTCATTACTTAATCGTTGATTATATATGCCTATATATTTATGTATTATTATTAATGAGAATACAAGAAAAATATTTCTCTTATATAAGGTATTATTAAATCAATTTTGTACTCAAAATTTTTCAATTACCACAACTGACTTTATTTGATATCCGAAAATCGAATTATATCTGAATATAAATATAAGTATTTTTTTTCAAGTTTTATGATGCAAATTTGAGTTTTTCTTGTCATACATTACCTTTATTTTACCTATTTTTGGTTTAAAACTCGACGGAATATTTAATATTTTCAACATAATTAAATAATCAAAAGAGTTATCGTTACAGTAAAATTAAACCGAAATCTTATCCATATTGGAAAAGATCAGTCCATTCATACGAATAAAGACCAAACACTCATAACCGAGATAGTGTAAAAAAGGAGAAAGGGAACAATTACAAAGATAAATATTATAGAGATAATAATATTTTTTTTTTTAAAATAGAGAACAGAAAAAAAAAATCACTTTTGTGCGGTGGACAGTAGCCTTCCGATTCTCCACTTCTCATTCCAAAAGTACATAAAAGCGATTCTAAATAATGTATTTTTCAATTATTCCAAATCAATTATATAATATGCCATTCTTTCGAAATTAATAAATAATAATACATGCATTTTTTTCTATTTTTGGTAAACCATCATTGATTAATTTACAACCAAAACATGCAGAAAGAGAACTAGGTTTTTTTTTACTATAAATACTATAAGATTCTTTTTTTTTATATAAAATGTGTTTGTTGTATTTCTATCGCAAAAAATTAAGAAGTCTATTACAAATAAGACTTTAATTTCAATACAAAATAACAATCAAACATTCACAACTCTCAAAAATAAAAATCAAAATCCAGCAACATAGAGAAACATGGAGAGAGACATTCCTGTCTTCTAGAAAACATGGTTGGACTAAAGGTCCGGTGAATTTCCGAATTATTAAAAAAATCATATAGAGATAATATATACCATTTTTTAAATACCGAATTGAAATGCATTTAGTAACAACAATGAAAGATATAATTGCTTTGATAACCACAGAGACAAAACCTTATCAATAATAAGATGGCAAGAAAGTAGCAAATAGTTTATTTTTAAATATCTAAAAGTTGGAAAGTCACTAATGTTATATTAGTTTCTTAGTGGTAGGACTTCCAATTCCTTATGAACATGTAGATTGACGAGTAGCAAATATATTCCTAGAACACCAAAAATTTATAAAATCCAAAATTACAAAAGAAAAATCAAAGAAATTAGAGTATTTGGGATTTATTTCTTTTTTTTTTCAAATCTTGAACCATTTATATCTTATAACACATTTTTTTTTTCGCATAACAATAGTTTTTTTTAGAAGATAAATTTTTTTCTGATAATACAGAAGTTTACCAAACCTTATGTAAAACTATATCTTTCAGAGGATTGGACAAGTTAAGGTGAATACCCCTTCCAATGTTTGGATTTGAATCCGGGATAAGAACATATTTTACATATTTTTTACTCTTAAACCAACCAAATTTGGGTATCAGAAAATAAAAAACCCGGAAAATATAGTTTGAAACTTTTTTGCGAAATGTAATATATTCCTACCCCATCGTGTGTATATAATGTCCCATATTTCCGGATTCAGAATTAGGATAACTATGGATTTTATCCATTTCGCATTAGAAAATGTGACATACAAATATAACTGTTCATTGTATTTATCATAACTAATTTATTTTACGAAAAAAAATAAATTAAATGATGATCTTTACATTACAGATGGTAGGGTTCACCCAAAATACGACAAGGTCGGCCACAAGACCCATATAATGTAAGATAAATTCCAAGGTCGGATAATGCGATTCATGTATCATGCATATATATATATATATATATATATATATATATACGTGACACGTGTGTAGATGCATGTGGAGGCTTGGGATGAAAATAAGTCGAAAGAGGAATTATTAGATAAGATCATTGCAAGGAGATAGTGGAGAACAGAGGATATGTATTGTACAAACACAGACATACTCACACGCAAACCCATATCATGAAATGTATGTATCCAATTAATTAAGCTCAATTCAGCAATATATTTTTTATCTTTTTTGTATTATTGCAAATTCATGAATATGGTGAAAGCGCCCTACAACCTTTTCATCTTCCATGTGTTAGTTATGCCCACTTCTCTCTCTCTATCTCTCCCTCTCTCCAAATAAATTATATTCTATGTGATTTTAGTGGACAATGATTTAATTGCATTTTTATTATTAAAATAATGTTTCATAAAAGTGTTTCAGATAATTATAAATTTTTTATTTATCACAATAATTTATAAGATATGATACTGCTAAATTTGTTTCGAATTAGTAAGTCATTGGCTAACTA